TGTACAATTTCCATTTAAAATTTTCAAATGTTCACACCAAAATACTTAAATATTTAATCAACAAACGAAATACTACAGTAAAAACTCGAATATAAAACTATTTTTTAAGCTAAACAAATCGTTTGTAGATAGACTGCAAACACACCGTGAGAATTATCTGTACTGTGTACTCGTATTTCCACTGCAAATCGTTCTATTTAACTATGACCAGAAATGATTTCTATATCTATATTAATATTGATTTTTTTGTGTAAAAAAACAACTTAGAACCCACGGTCACGGTTTCATCAACTTTGTATTATATATATATATATATGTATAAATATATACATATTTGAATATGACAGCACACCATCAATAATTATCATGTCTGTTGTAAACGTCTATACGCGTGTATTGTAACGAAATTCGACCGAAAACCAATATTATAATTCAATAATAGCAGTCGGATGATAATAAGACAAAAGAGCGGATAGGTGAAAATCGTTTTTGTGGACATATTAAATATTAACTGTACTATAAGACAAAATATTTATGGTCTGTTTCCATTCGGCGTGAGAGAGAGAAAGAGAAAAATTAAAATTAAAATAATAGTGCCCTTATTTAACGTAAAAATATAACAAAAATTTACATTTATGTCACTGTTCGTACTTAAAAATATTTTACCTCTTCCCATAGGTGAATTAAACTAAAGATATTGGGTATTGACCCGTTTATATTCTTATTAGGAACGATAATTGTATAACAAGTCGAAAATCATATTTATTTATAACTTTTCCGACACAAATAGTACATTGTACAATTTAAACTTGCGATCGAAACGCTTGCGTCGTTGGACCGAATTATAAATTCCACGTGCGAAAAAAAATACGATGGGCTATTCAAAGTATGAGTTGGTAAGATCAGCTGTGGTCAGCCCGAAAATTGGCTCGAGAAAATGCTATGAAACCCTAATTAGTGGCATATTGGGCAAACGAAAAATAAATAAAATACACCAAATTGATGGTATATTATATTTATTATTGTTGGGTAACCCGAAAACAGGATAAAATATTAACTGAAGTACGAGTGAAAACCATAATAATTGGTTTTATTCAGTGAGTTCCAATACAGAGATGATTTCTAACACACGAAAACCTGAGAAAAAACTACTTCATCTCAATTTATAAAAATAGTAAAATTGTTATTTATTTTGATCGTGATGAAACTTTTACTAATTAATTGTTATTTTTGCTTATTGATATGCATAGCTGAAAACCTAAGTAATTGTATAATAACACTGCTATGACGGAAAACTAAATATTATAACACTGAAAAATAACAAATTAATTGGTTTTTTTCATAAAGAATTGCGATAAAAAAATTCCAACTAACTTATGTCACATTATAAACGTACCTATGTAAATTAGTGCAATCGACGATAACGTTGAAAAAAAACGTGCGTGTATCATTTAATCAATTATTTGAGAATTTGAAATTATGAATACATTTAAAATATTTTTTCTCACAACTCAAACCAAAGCAAAAGTTACGATTTATACAAATAAAATAAAATAAAGAGAAAGCGGTCTAAATTTATATTTGACTATTAACGTATCAATCTATATAATTCCAAAACAAGTCATTAGATTAAATAAGTGGTTCCCTTCTTGTGGTAAGCGGAGAATATTTTTATTTTTTTTTTAAAAAAAAAGCTTTATTATTTTATTGTTACACCATTCGATATTATTTGGTTTATTTGATATTAGCTAATTGTATAAGTATCCTTGACATAGGAACAAAATGAACGTATTATTCACAAGAATTAACGGTTTTTAAAAATAAAACAAATTGCTACCTCATCGCATAATACACGTTAAAAAAACATCTAAAAATAGCCTCATAACTAACTTCGCGATATTTTGTTTAACTTAAATGGTAATTTAAGTGATAATTTGGTAAATTCTTTATAGGTCTTTACATAACGTACAAATCGTTACGAATAACCAGCAGCCGCGGTGTTGATGTCCCTTACACGCATATCGCCTCGAGGGCGATACGGCCTGTTGTCTTCGTTGCCTGTTTTACAAATTAACCAACAACGTTGTGTAATGCTTGCGTATACCATCACGTCGAGCCCTCGGCGCAATCGACGTCACACCGACATTCCGTGTAGGCACCGGCGACGGTTTCAAATCGCAAAACTGATTCGACATCATTACCGTTTCTCATCGGTGTGGCACACGACGATAGCGTATTGTCATCAAGTGCCGTAGAATAAATGATGTCTCGCACCGATCCCGTTTATCCACTCGCAAACGCCCCGCAGCAGACGGACATGGGCTCAGGTTGACGATTATCCGAAGATTCGGTTGCATTCCGTTCGATTCTGAACATCAGTTTGCCCCTAGTGCTAATTGGACTCCTAAGTTATATGGCATTAGTAGACCAATCATATTGTTCAAAACCATCGATAATTGAACTTAGCCGTTTGTCTCCCCGGAATCGAGTGAATCGATTTGTTCCTTTTTGCTGGGATGAAAATGATTTGTGGCACGTGCATTCCGTTCGTCGCAAACCCTGATCGTTTCCGATCGACAAGCAAATGTTTAAGACGATACAAATGTATACGGTTCACATAATATTATATTCCGTAGAATTTTTGCCGAAACCTAGTCGACGACTGACGCATCATCCTTACATTTCTAAACGTTTTGTTACGTTCTTCGGTTATTCATATCTTTTTAATCGAACGATAGTACTACGTTATATCCATAATTCAAAAATTGAAATCTATAAATCCATTTTTCGGAACTCGAAATTTGAATTTCGGATTTACGGATTTTAATATTCGAACTTTGGGTATAACATTGCGGAATTCTAAATTTTAAATAAAAAAATAATTTATTACGAAATATGAGAAGTTATTAAAACATTATTATAAATCATAAATAAAAGAATACTAATTCAAAACAACAAGTGACAACTGCACTCGACGGCTATGATTCTAAAAACATGAATAGATAGTCAGTTATAGATGACCAAGTGTAACCGATTGATGAAATATTATTACTAAAATGTAATTGCTTTTGTTGTAGGTACTGATTGAATTAGGAAAAATAAGGGTATAATAATAATAATAATAATAATATAAAATTGTTTTGGAATATTTTAAGTTATTTAACTAAACATATTTTAAACCATGGCTGGTACGCCTGTAAACGCCTGGAAAGAACCGAATCCTTTAACTTGTTTTTTTTTTTGTGAACCAGAGGATCCCTCTATATGTGTCTATAATGCATTTTTATATCCCTGGCCTGCGACACAGACAAAAATATACAGTCAAATCATCTATGTCATGCACAGGTACGTGTGTGCGTGTACCTTCCGTAGGTATACTTTTGTTTATTCGCAGACATTTGATATTATTATAGACGCCACACCCCCATAATTACGGGGCTTAAATGCTATCATGACCTATTACGAAAAACGATTAAGCAGCATTAATGTGTGTACGTATACAGAATTGATTTTTTTTTTTTTTCATTTTGTCTTTCGTACTACAAATTCGTAAACAGTGGACTGCAAAATTGAATTGCACATTAAAATAACAATAATAATTAGATCCCGTTCCATAGTAACTGCCATGTCGTACCACACACAGTACGTGCGTTGTTTTAAGCTCATAACTGTTACGCTCTATTTCATTTTACTTGAACTATTCGAAATCAATTGCACTTCTGATATAATAATATAATTTAATAATATTTCAATTATTTTGATCGAAATCTCCACTTATAATTAAATACTCACAAATCAACATTAAAATGAAAAAAATTGAATTCCAATAGACGGTCGAAAGTAACAATAATACTGCTTTTATGAATTTAAAATTTAATTTGTGATAAATGTTGATTTACATTTAATTTCAAATGAAGTTGTTTTAAAAGGTATTATTAAAAAAACGGTCATCTTTAATATGAAAATAACTGAATTGCGTGAACATTTTTTTTTTTAAATAATCAAATTTTCGAATAAATATAATGCCACAGACATTTACATACGAAACTATTGGGAAATACCATAAAATGTAATAATATTACACTAATAGTGTCTCGAATTCGATTTATACGTAAACACACGGCATTGTTATTAACGTTTTCCCAAAAGCGTAATATCAACTATAGATATATAAGACGTGTAGTAAACGTTGTATGCTAGTACCTAAATATCGTAACACAACATGATCGACTGCTAATGATTTTATATGTCCACGACCGATGTACAGATGGAGAAAACGATTCGCGTAATTGTATTCGTGTACACACTTGTACACGAATACACGATGACCCTCTGTTTTTTCTCTGGTTATTACAACGCAGAACGACCATTTATACGGAGCTTTTGATTTGATTATAAACCACACGATTAAAATAAAATAAAAAAAAACACTCCGCCGAAACAAAAGTTCGTGTTTCGACGTGTTAGATATAAATGTCTATGTCTAGAAAATCAATCGTTTACACATACTATTATATCTTCATGAATCTTGGTTCGGTAAACCATTTCAACCTATTATATTCTGATCGAAAACCATAGCGGTTTGTATAGTTGCGGGCGGTTCAAGCCAGCCAAAGTCATTTCGAGTATATTATGTTACTAAGCTAAACACAGTAATGCTGAAAACACTTCTAGGCGACCCTATTGGTTGTCTTGATTTATTAGATGAACTTAATTTCAAAGTCCCAAACTTCAAATCTATATCATCCTATCATTTATACAAATAAATCCGGAACACTTTTAGTAACGAAAAAATAATCATAGACGTCTCCTGTGAAGGCTGCACGACGAGTTCGTTTTTGCATTCCGACAGCAGTTACTTTCTTACGAATCGTTTACGCATTGTATTCGAATAGACACAGGGTCACATTGATAGAAATCAATCGTTTCGAGACGCGTTTTTGCGATTAAAACAGATGATCCCACGTCAATGGCAGTAAACATGTTTATTTTTTTTCCAGCCCCTCAAGTTACAACCCGAATAGGACCCGATGGCCACATCGTCGTCGTTCACGCAAATACTTTCTGGCGTACAAGTCGACTATGATGACGAGGGCAAGCACGCGGCGGCGACGGTGCCGGCGGCCGTAGTGCACCTGACGACGAAATCCAAAACGTATCCGCACTGGCGCAAATGGCGAATCGTCTGGCGCAACGTCATCGCGTTCACCGTCATGCACGTGATCGCCGTCTACGGATTCTATCTGATTTTCTGCGGACACGTCAAAGTCAAAACCCTGTTATGCAGTGAGTATTCGACGACAGATGATAATAACGATAATAGTTTTTCGGAACAAATAATTGATCACGCCTTATGGCGGTAATGAGTGCAGCAATTCTAAAAAAAAAAATAACAACAAAACTGATACAAACCAGATAATTTCGATAGAAAATAAATTGAGCAAATGTTGTGAACATTTTTACGTTATATATTGTTTAACCGGACATTTTTGACTTGCTCGGAGGAACGAAGAAAATGTCGATATTATTCAAAGAATCGTTATTCAATAAAATTATGTTTAAGGGGATGTAAAGAGTATAATTTTTGTTTGGTTTGTTTTACATGTTGTGTTAGTAGAGCGGAGACTATAATGAAGAATGTTAAGACGTACAATTAAATTATTTAATAATTTAATAATTATAATAAAGAGGGAATCATTGTTGAACCGATAGCGACGGTCGACGTCTACGTTTGAGTAATAATATTGATGGTGGGGTTTGGGGATTCGATTAAAATAAAAAATCGACTGCATGCGAAAACACAACTGTGGATTCTCGACGATGGAACGAGGACCGTAATAAGGGAAAAATGTCACGATTTTCATCGTTGAATAGCCTATATATATACGTCGTCGCATGGATTTGTCTTACACACAATACAAGCGAGTAAAACGCACCGTTTCCCTAACAACGATTTTGCTTTCATATAGTAAATACATAGTCAAATCAAAATCAGAATCATACTCTATCAAACAATTTTGCTTTTATTAAAGTATTTACACAAAATTTACTATGATTTTGACTTTTTTTTTTTATTAATTCGTGTGGCATAACTATGCAATATAATATTGAATAAATTACAAAATGATTTTGACTACAATTTTACTATACATTTGCTATGACAACAAAATCGTTAGGGAAATGGTGCAATTTACTCGTTTGTGCTTTTCCCTCAACAAATGTGACAACCTGCGTGATGTTTCGTACAACATTTTAGCATGACCTTCCGACAACAAAACGTATCTATATAAAAAATGTGAACTTTTAAGTTTTTGATTCACAGAGTTATTTTGAGTTATATTGAAATGTATCGAGTAGTACCTATCGCACGATTTATTTACTTTCGAACTGCCACCGTTAAGAGAATCCACTTTTTACATACTTACGTTATTTTTTATTACGAATAATAATAATAATAGGTTATAATTTATTATTATGCAAAAATAAATTATCTTAGGTTTCCGATGGTTTTTTTTGTTTTATAGAAAGCTACAGACACTCCCTTCGGGATAATCATAAAACCGCAATAATTTTCAAATTCATTATAATAACACACTTTACACTACGTTAATCAGTGTCTGAGTCGTACCAACGCGTTGAAAACGTTCAATTATTATGTAAGCGATACTTTTTTTTCTTTTTATAATCATCATTACTTTCATAACGCTAAGACCATAATGTTATGCTCGTCTATGTCATAGTAATACGCGTTTTCAAACTTATAAAAAAGAATAACCCGCATTTTAAAATACATACCTATAACATGTAATTCCGTTAACTGATTTTTATTTTAGAAAGCTTCAAAATCTCCAGCAAATGTGTAAAAAATAACCGTTTAAAAGATTTGCCAGTAATATACGTGGTTAGTTGAATTATGACATTTATATAATCATCAGCGACCATAATGTAATTTTATCTTGCATAAAACTGAATCTAAACAATCTAATTAAAACTATAATATTATTATAATCAGAATACTAATTATTAGCATAGTAAATATTTAATTTTTTACTTTTAATTGAACTTGTGTACAGTTATCCGCAATAATACGTAAATAAAATGTACAACATATTTCATTCAAATTCTGGTATAGACATATAATAAATGATTGACGAAATTATAAATAAATTTATGTGAAGTTCATGCAGTCTCGGTCAATGTCACCAATAAAACAAGATATATATTATATATACTGCAAGAATAATATTAATATTTTATCATTACGAAGTTATTTTGTCATGTTCTTACAATTGATGTAACTCGAACACCAGATAGTTTGTTCGAAACCATTACTTATAATGAAACCTGAGTCATTAACAAGTATTAAATTTTTTTTTTGATAATTCTTAGTTTATATTGAAAAATTTAATGTTTAAAAATATGATTTTCTAATATTGCATTTTAGTCATAGTTAAGGGTATAAGAATGTTGCTGTATATTATTATGTTCCTATAACAAATATGCATATTATTAAATAAATAATAAGAAATTTTCAGTAATAGCCAATTATATATAGTGTACAACATATAGTATATTATTATTTTAAATCTGAAGGCCATGGTTTCATCGCATTTAAAAACATAAAATTTCTATATAAGATATTTGTTAACTACACTGTTGACACGAAGTTACCAAACTTTAGGTGTGCACATAAAAATCTATTTTAAAAGCTGATTAAACGTTGTGTAATGTGATACATTACAATTATCAAATAAAACAGTTAAAAATAAAAGAAAAACGTTACTCATATCACAGTTTTAAAATATAATTTCCAAGAATATAAAAAAAAAGTATACATATTATTTGATTTAATCCTATTAAAAATAAAAAATAAACCAACACACAATATTTATTTAAAATTTAACCATATATTTATATAATTTTTCATGAACATATTAATTTGAATTATTATTTATATTCGCAGTACCTACCTATTATCGATTTTATATATTTCTGTATTTTTCGTTTGTTATTCGATTTTTTTTTTTTTATATTTCTATGAATGCTTTCTTTGATTTTAGATAAAGTTTTTCCAATTACGAGTTCTCGTAATTATATCTTAAACACGTGAAATTTGAACGTTTTACCTTTATACACAATACTAAGTAGGTACTCTATTGGTTTCATAATTTTGTTGTTTTATATTATTATAATATTATTTAACGCTTATAGTTTTGGAGTAAATTTGCAATTTTAATCCTTGTTACTAAATTATATCGTAATTAAAATATATTGTAATTTTTCTATAATACGAAAACCTTATATTGCAACTTTATACATAAAATACTTTCTTAAGTTTCTAACATTGCACGTAAAAAAAATATATAAAAATAACTGACATTGGTTCAACCTCAACTCTTATACGCAATTTTTCATCGAATAAAGTCAAGTTAATTATTTATGATTCAGTTTCCAGTTAAAAAAAAAAAAAAACTAGGCAAACGTAATATCATACTTAGACAAGAAGCACAATGTGTATCTATATCATGCGCTGCTGTAATCTTTTTACTGTACAGTTGAATTTTATTGTGCTGATTCTTTTAAAAAATAAAACTATAAAACAAATGTTCTCGATAAAACGAATTGTATTTCTATACTATTCACAATAAACTATATACTAGTAATAAATGCACCATTTTAAACAAAAAATATATGGAAAGACTTGAATGGGCTCATCTCAATCCATTGTCCCGAACGACATTCATATTTTTTGATTTTTAATATTTTTCACATCTTAGATAAAATTCTTACCGTATAGTTGACTATTCTTCGGTTATATTTCATTACGCTTCCGTGTTCGCGTTATTCATCAATTCAATGTTGATGCCATTACAAGACAATCAATTAAGACAACACATTGAATAATTTTTTTTTTATGTGAATGATAAAAAAAAAAATCCAATTTTAATGTATAAATGAATGAGCAAAAAAAATAAATATAATAAAATCTAGATTTGCGCCGTATACTCGTAAACCAGGTATACATACCTTTGATATATCATGTATAACATAATTCATTAACTATCTATCGCGGGCCAAACCAAGTAATATACATTAATTTTTAATCCAACATACCAATCGATCTAATGATACTATAAATATATAAAATTAAATTAAAATTGGTTGTAAAGTAATCTTAGATTATTCTCTAAAAATCGTCTTAATTTCTTCATGATTAACTTGCATACCGAATTCTTGTTGAACTAAGCTAAGAATATTATGTATCTATGTACTGTGTTTACTCTATCAAATGTTCACATCAGAATAAATTATATCAATATTACATATACTTAATGTAAATAATAATTTACAAATTATCTATTTACTAATAAATGTAAAAATGTAAACCGAAAATATAAAAGAATCGAAAATCTAAAAAAAAATATAATTCAAAAATCTATTTCTAACAATTTTATCAGGCATCGCCGAATCGATTGTTTTGTTAGACCATGAAATGGATTATCATAGTATCCAACCAGAATTTACAGTTAAGGATACAATCTGAAAAAAAACTTTACGTACTTGGCATGTGAATCTGTGTAGTCTGTACGCGTAAATCCGTCTTCAACCTGCAAGTGATCATTATAGTATGATAATAAAGTAGAATCTGTACATAAATAATGCGTATACAGTAGAAACTCTTTTCTAACACGAAGATTCAATTTGGGCCCGTCTCGTCAGTATTGTAATTCGGTCTAAATGTTTTTGTTCAAAATCTTTTAAATTTCAATTACTTGAAGTATGTTCTTTCTGATAACGAAAAATAGAAGAAACATTTAAATAAACTTTGTATAGTCATTAAATGTTCAGAATAAATGTATACACGTTAAATTGATATCATAAAAATTTGTTTTAATTTTTTTTGTTGTTTTTATGTGTTATTTATTACATTTTATAAATATAGTAAATCTGTAAAATTATTCTTGAATATTTATTCATTAATAATTAAAAAATAAATAGGTTTACTATTTCTTATTATTATTTAATGTTTAAATTTTAATTATTTTGATGCATAAAGGATCATAATATAATGTAAATAATTGTTTCGTATATGACAAAATGGTTCAGAAATAAAGTTAAAACAATTATTAAGTTTGTTTATAAATTTGGGTTGATATAAATATAACACCCTTTCTATGACTATTTACTAATTATGAACCGGTTTGGCCTCAATACTTTAGCTGCCAATGTTTAGCAGACAGAGGATATAAGAAATAATTTCATTTGCATTCAACTCTATACAAATATATTTTTAACAAAAGAATTAACAACAATTAATAGTTTTCTATTATTGTATATTCTAACGATATTTATTTTATTTATTTAATAATAATATATATACTCGCCTAATCCTCAATTGGTTTTCATTAAAATCAAAATATTAAAATAATTTTTTATCAAAAAAATTTAAAAATGTAAATTTTAAAAATGTTTACAATATCCGTCCCAGAACCGAAAATTGATTCGACTCTTAAAAATTCAATTTTCAAAATATGTTTTCTAAATGCTCCTATTCATGGTACAGTATTTTTAGCTGTAATATATCGATCAGAGAGAGTGACCAAGTGTTATTTTAATTTTATGTACATGAATTATAAGTAGTTTAAAGTTCGTCTTGTAGCATTATAAAAAATAAATAATGAAATCAACGAAAGGAAACAAATACAGTAGACTCTCAATAGTTCAAAAACCTTTATAATTCAAAAAGAGTCCATGATTTTCGATTCCCTCAAGAGATTAAAAATGTTAAAATTGGAAAAACACATTAAGCATTTGAAATTGAAATTGTAATATATAGGCTCCAATAAATATAACGAGAAGTGCAGATCACCTTACTCTTATTCAGTTAGAACCTATAATTTTCCTTAAAGCATCGAAAAATAAAGACAGCGATGATATACTACCGTATTTGATTTATCTTACAGTAGTTTTCTGTTTTTAAGTTCGTTTTCTCCAAATTTCCGTCCAGCTAGTGGACTCTAGCTGAATAATTTATTATTTATCATCACTGTGACCTTCAGCGACAAGCGATCGTTTTTCGCAATCGAATAAAACGTAGTCGCATATAAAGCCAATAAACTATATTACGACGCCAAAAATATAAAATTAATTTTTTATTGAATTTATGATTTGTAATGATTATAAAAAGACTTTCATAATTATCTTTTAATAAAATAGTTAGTTAGTTAGTGTTCCTTGCAGTTGGATACAAATATTATTAGTACTATAAATAAAAATAATATAAATTTAATAATTCAGTATTTTAAATTAATGATATCGATAAGTAATACGAATACAAATTATATTTTACAATCAGACTTTATTCTACATCCATATCCTCATCATAATTATTGACCTTCTCATTATCACCACCATCGCCATTATCATCATCATCATCATCATCATCACCAGAAAAAAATGAAGGGATACAACTTCATGAAATTTTGTTTGGTTATTTTTAGGATCTTTTCGAGTGTTTGTTACGACAGGGTCCGAGGATATCAGCATCCAGTTAAATATGTCAGTATTTGTATTGATTCTAGAAGTTTTTCTCGAGTGTCTTAATATTTTGTATTCTTTATAGACACTTTCAATTACATCTTCTGACAGTTACTCTACTGATAACGGTAAAGATTTTATAATTTCAGCTCCATGAACTAATAGTTTGTGAACAGTGGCACTCATTTTATAACAACCATAAAGTGAAATAACCATGTGCTGTTTCAAAGCAATAATTTTTAAACATTTTTTCTTTGATATAGTGCCCACAAAAAATAACGCAAAGTATATTTGAAATTTTTTCTATTAATATTTTAACAATTCCAGTTATTTGAGAAAGAAGTAAAAGATTTTTAAAAAAATTTCGGGCTGTGATATCATCATTACTATTACCTCCACCTTGTTTTGGCTGATCAACAACGAGACCCATTTCTTTGTAAAAGTTAGTCACTATGTTATTTTTTCTTTCCTTTACTTTTTTTTTTACATATTCCCCTCTTGCTTGCCACTGCTGTAATTTTAATTTATATGCTATATGAAGTAAATATTCATAGCATCTAAGATGTGCATGTAGTATAGAAATACCATATTTGAAGGTATCTTTATTACAGACTCTATTCTTTATTTTTTCTAAATTGTTTAAATCTTTATGAGTAGCATTACAAATATTATATGCATGGGAATTTAAAGTCTCGGTCAAAATGTTGACAGTCTTTCCATCCAGTATTGTACAAATAGGAACATGTTTAAATTTTATTTATTTTATTTCTTTATTTCTTTTTTTCTTTGTTTTCATTTGATTCGCATATTTGTAGTGGAACAATTATACATAAAATTATGTTTGAATCCGCATATTCTGAATTATTTGCAAAATTTTGTTTATAAATACTTTATCCACCGCTGCCATCTATTCCCCATTTATAATAAATTTCAATAGTATTACAGTCATCCAAAATGTTCTGGAGAATTACATTGGCCTGCAGTTATACCAGACGTTGTGTGGTATGTATAAAAAGATCTTTCAGTGGTACCACAGCTTCGTTTTCAGATATCTTAATATTTACAGGATAACATTTCCACTTTGCTTCTTGTATCACATGATATGAGGGATAAATATAAGCACCTCTTTCTTTTGCTCCGAGTCGCATCTTAATATAATTTTCTTTTGTTAATCCAAGATCAACCATAAGACCTAAGGTTTCTTCAAAGCTGTATGGTCTTATAGTAATAGAAGATGATATATCATGCACCAATATCATTTTTTTTTAGTCTAGTGGGCGTAGTATTGATGGATAATTTTAAAACTTGGGCTGCAGTTCTCCTCCCTGATTTCACCAAACTTGATCCTGCAGCTAAACACACTTGTTCTGAACTATGTTCCGATAAAATTGAATTAATTTGTCTATGTTAACTGCGTTGAGAACTCTCTTCAAAAGATTTTTTTTGGTCTGCCTCGGCTATTTTTTTCTTGACATTTGGGCGCTGGTAACGAAAGCTGTGATAGCTGTACTTCAGAGAGTTTCAAGCCATCATCAATCCATTTCATATGCTTGGTATTAAAACAATCATACATATAATTACAAGCATGCCATTTTTAAAAACCTTCGTGACAAATACTTTGACATTTTATTTGCTTAGTACAATGTTCAGAAAGTTCAGTATCACCAAACGTGTCTATGATATAGTGCAATAAATGTTCATTACACTTATATGATGAAAAATTAAAAAACTGTTCATTTTGTAATAGTATAAATAGTTCTCTTCTCTTTATTTTAATTTCCTGATCAGCGGAATTACCATGACTACCTAAAAAGAATGCGCTCAATTTCAAAAAAGGAGAAACAAGTGAGAGTATATTTTACATTTTTATACTTGTTACGGGATATTGTTTTTAATGTGTCAAAAAAAAAACAGTGGAACTCGATAGAACTTTTTTTATAACTCTAGTTTAAGTTGATATTTTAATATATTTGTTCAACAAAATAATATTTCTTAAAATATATATTATATATATAATGTACATATAATACTCGTATTATGTTAACAATAATTATTGCATATTAAAGTACATACCTAAAACTTCAATGTCGATATTGAAAAATTTGTGATTTCAAATTTTAAAATGAACAAATCAAGTGTAATATTATGACAACGATGTACGTAGTAACTACTAGTACTAGTCGTGCGTCAAAAACCAGACTTAAAGTACACAGACTATTATGTCACGATAATAAACTCAATTATTAACGGTACATTATGGACTAGTTTGTAGATAAAGTTTTAAAAGTAATTTTAATAACTACGAAGAAAATATATATTCCAATTTTTGTCGTCGTAATATAGTTAATTGACCTTATGTAAGTCGGTCAGAAAACGGGTGCCGCAAAGTATTTGTCGCTCGCCAACAGAAAAAAGCGAATCGAGGCAGTTGAAGCAGGGGAAACAAACAAAAGGATTGTCACCCTACCCATACAATTCTGTATTGTAAACAAACACGCGTGTAGATCCAGTAGACGTACGCATGTGTTATGTACCCGTAGCGTACGTGCTAATCAACCAAACCAAATCGATTGACAAACAGGTGTCACGAGGCAAAAACGCTCCTTGAAATTCGAACGGTTAACTGTTGTCCCCTTCCCCGTCACCCAGGATGATAATTAGGGCCGAAACGAAATCGAAGACCCTTTTTTTGTCAGCCCGGTCTCTTGGATCTTCGAACGGACCAGCAGGTGTGTAAAAATGTTTCTGCGTTTCTGTTTCAGTGATGGTGATATCGGTTTGCAGCGCTTTCGGCATCACGGTGGGCGCTCACCGGCTATGGGCTCACCGGTGCTACAACGCCAGGCTGCCGATGCGCGTGCTGCTAGCCGTGTTCCAGACGTTGGCGTTCCAGAACCACATATACGAGTGGGCGCGCGACCACCGGGTCCACCACAAGTTCACCGACACGGATGCGGACCCGCACAATTCGTCCCGCGGCTTCTTCTTCTCGCACATGGGCTGGCTGATGGTCCGCAAACATCCGGACGTCGCGGCCAAGGGCAGCGCAGTCGACATGACCGACTTGGAAGCCGATCCGGTCGTCATGTGGCAGAAAAAGTGAGTGCGATTTGTATGTTTTCCGTTATTCCCATTTTTCCGCGCGCGTTTAGAAATACGATTTCTTCCGACGCGACTTCCCATATTGTTCCAAGGCCGGCGTGCAATACGAGCATTTTTTTCACGTGCGATTACGGCCCGACCGATGATAGGGAGGAAAGGAGCTGTAGGGCCGCAATGTATTTTGTAATCGTTGACCAATAAAATAATAAGTGCTGATTTGTCGATTCATTGAGATCGTACTACAATGTCATGAACATAAAAACTAAATTGTATTGGGGAAAGGGTCTCACCAATAGTAAGTATAAGAGTGGTCTCAGCCACTCTTATATTATGACAACAATCCGTCCCTGCGGTATTTTCTGATAGGAATTCGAAAATTTTGATTTTATTTGACGCATTTGGACAAAAGCTGTTGCATTGACAGACGTCTTATTTAAAATCAACTTTTTCCTGTCCTTCTCGATACACCTTCCGAAGATACAAATACTAAAAAATATAGATTTGACGTTTCGAGTTCACTTGTATCGAGACTCGAATACGTGTGCCACGTGGACGGTATAGACAATATTTTATCAGAACAGATTATTTGTACGTCGTTATAATATCATACGTTAATTATAATTGTTATTATTATTGGCATTTATTTATTTAACACTCAAACAGCCAGTCTTGAACAAATAATATATTAAAACAAACGATGAATAACACAAATTTGATAACAATTTCGAGAGCAAATAACCGAAATGAGTAAAGAGTAGAAAATAAAATAAGTATGAGAAAAAAATATAGTTTGGTACATAAATTGGACACATTAATTAATTATTTGCTTAAAATCAGAATTTTCATAAACAAAATTTTATAATTTATGAGTAATTTCTGTGTACATTAGTAACATTTACACAAAATCATTTTCTGTTACATTCACTTTTAACGGATCCTGCGCACGATCATTGAAATATTGGTAAAAACAAATTTAAAAACATGAACGTTTCAAAAGCTGTCTATAAATAGTAAAATTGCGCAAAAAAATTCCAAAATTATATGAAATTCATACCATCTTTAATGAAATATGGCATTTAATAACTTTTTTAAGTCTTTGCTTTTTCAATTACAACAAAAAAAAATTATATTTTGTCTGAAACCGGTAACTTGTAAATGTTTTTATTTATTAATTTTAAAATTATTATTAATAACATAAATAATATTTTGTAATAATCTTTTTTAAATTTTCTGTCAGTTTTTTCAATTATTTTCATAAAACCGTTGAAAAATTAAAATATGAACTTTTGAAAGCAACAACTAGACAATATTTGGTATCTAATAAAGAAACCATATTTTCTTTTAATTATCAGAGCAACCATTCTGATTATAAAAACAAATTAAAAAAAAATAAATAAAAATATCACGGTATAAATAATTATAGTCGCTACATTCCTCGCTACGCTTAGAATCTACAATTTTAAAAATTCTAAAAACACGAGATTGGGTTTTCAATATCTGATTTCTTCCACTCGACAACAAAATACATTTTTTTCTTATAAATTAACTCATCGTGAATAACGATGCATTCATTCTAGCAAAGCGCACGTTTTAAAGCCAAACATCCAAAAATGCTTAGGTTGCCTAATTTTGAATCACAACCATCGACCTACTATCGACTCAGTATGTAACATTCTATCGTTTGTATACTCACCACGTATTTGCGAAACAGTCATTGATTTTTTTCTCATCACAATCAAAATCAATGAGAACTACCCATAATCGATAATACGCAATACAAATGTATTGATTACATTTTCATGAAGGTATGTGGCTAAAAGTGCGATGACTAAATCGCAGTGTCCTAATGATTTCGCATTGCATACATGATTCTAGGTAATGTTCGACGATAAGTATATAAATCAGAAACTCCCAAAATTTGCAGCGTGTTTAACCCGTAAGAGGCACAAAGTAAAAATTGCACGCGTTAACTTTTAGACCACACTGTCGGATATACAAAGATTTTTTAACGTTTAAGTAATATTATTGTAACACGTGCCTTATTTTGGATTGTATTTATTAACGAATGGATATTTTTGTTCTCAAGAAGGATTCGATAAAGAAAGTTTGGGAACCATTGGTATTAACGTAATAATATATATATTATAACAACGATGAATTGAAAATATTAAAATACGCGTGTATTCGATTATTATTGCGTTCTATCACGTCGAGCTATGGTTACGTCGTTTTGTTTTCCGTACACATCATATGGTAATACACATAACCGTCTAACACGCACGATGCGTAAAAAAATTGATCTCCTACCCCATGCTGCGCTAAAACGTCCTCGACGCGGGTTGATACGATTATACACGTGTATATCGATCATTCGTATACCTAATATGTGCGTCCGCAGTACGTCGGCATTTTATGCATTTTCACTGCAGTGAACCAATAAAACAGTCTGAGCGCATCATCATGGTCGATAATCCCGTGACCAGCCAAGACATCGTTACACATACATATATATAAATACACAGGGCCGGCCCAAGCAAAAATAGTGCACTAGGTAAAATCAGATTTAGCCGTCTCTAAAAAAAAAATTGAGCTCTTATTTTAACTTAGCTCCTCCTCCTATTTTTTATGTGACATATCTACATAAAAAAGAATAAAAAAAAATTTATTTTTTTATTTTATGTATAAAATTATATGTAAAAATGATTTCTATAACTATTACTCAAAACCCATCACTATCGCGAATATCCGAAATCGCGGATATGATTGTGTGGTTATTTATATTTTTGGAATAATTGAAAACGCCCACCGTAGACCGTAATATAAAGTCAATGCCGTAGCAACCAAGCATTATACCCGGGGTCAGTGGCGTATATAGGTTATCATTTCGGAAGGGGCCGATTATGTATTTGATTTTTGGGTAGAAAGGAAGGAGGAAGTACACTATTACGAAAAAAATTACTTTAACACTATAAGACTTCTCGACAGTCTTTACACCATCAAAAAAAATAAGAAACTCAATTTTTTTTAATGATTTATTATTTTTTAAAAGTATAAAAACTACATTGTAATAAACAAATTTTTTATTAGAGTCACTCAAAATTCACCACATATTTTCTTAAAAGAATAAACATATTTTATAAATATAAAATTTTAAATTATCGCATAAGCAACATTCTCAGTGTCGCGACAAATTTTCGGAAACCCCCAGCATTAAGACATATCCATATTAAAAATAACAATCTTTAACAATGGTGTTTTTCATTTCGGAGGGGGCCTGGGCCCCCTCGGCCCCCCCCCCCCATAAATACGCCCCTGCCCGGGGTGAAACTTCAAAATACGCCCTTATGTATTTTTTATTTAAAAATATCATGCTTATTAGACATTATTTTCAATGATTGCTATAATTAATATGAAGGATATTAAAGATTTTCTAAACAAAATATACGACATTGACCGTTGTAATTTTTAACATTAAAAGCAAGATTTCAATTTTTGCGCACCCCCAGGAATTGCGCCAGGGGCGTAGACACCTCTCACCAACGCCTTGCTACGGCTCTGCCCGCGGGTTTCGACTGGCCCTGTATAAAGTAATAAAATATCTTTAGACAATATTATTTTATTATATAGGTAAGTGGTTTTTACTAATGAATCAATTTAAATATTTTTCGTATAAAACACCGATAAAACTAAAAAAAAATGTATGAGTCAATTTTGAAATTTCCGCCCCTACTAAAATGCCGCTCTAGATAAGTGCCTAGCTCGCCTATACCTTGAACCGGTCCTGTGAATACAAAAGTACAACATACATATTGTAATGTCGATGATAACTTATTTTTTTTTTTTTTCTGAACTCCACTCGCACGCTTGCACATGCTGCCGCGATTGTCAGGATTCTAAGGAGTTTGGGCGATTCTACATCTGGATATACACGTTTTAGAATATAATTGCTCATTTTAGGAATAAATAGAGGTAGTATATTATACGCTTTGTTAATTATTACATGGTTATATTTATTATGGGCGTGTATTACGTCAATACATTGCTTACTAGAACGTCAATTGAATATACAGTATAAAAAACGTAATTTTAAACAATTAGAAACACAATAGGTATTAAAATACAAAAAACGATCAATGCGATAGTAACAGTAAACGAGTACAATTGCGTAAGATTCAGATTAAGACTTTTTGTCCATTAGAGTTGTCATGTTTTCGTATGCAGAAAATCATAAGAAATAGGCTATCGGTATAGTTCGTTTAGATTTCCAGCGAAAAAAGACATACCATGCTTAAGCAAAGTGTAAACAGTGTCTAGAGTCATTAGAATAAGTATCAGTTTAAAACTATTCATCAATATATATATATATATATTAACTAAACTAATCGGTTTGACGCTTAAAATTTAGTCGAAACTTGAAACATTCGTTTCGTTAGTCCACCTCTGCTTGTGTTCAAAATCTATATTTTGCTTAATACGTATTTTGCAGTCTACTGCTGTCTACTGTCTGGATAGCTGATATATCTTGTCCTGGCAAATTCTCGGTATTGAGTAACCCAAGATCAGCTCTGTAAGTACGGCATATATATGTGCATTAGATGTAGGTACCTATGTTTTGTGTACAACCCTTTAACACCAAATTAATACCAATAATATATAGGTATGATTGTGTTGCATTTGAATACCGCTGAAAATGTATAACATAACATATAGCTATAATTTAATTGAGAGGTGAGATTTTAAAATTTACTATTTCCATTATAATTTTATATTCTGAATTACTAAAAACTTGTGAAAATATCGTAAAACCATTAATAAATTCATAAAAATGGATTATATTGTTTGTAATATGATTTATTATTATGAATTTATCTTCAATGTAGTAATTCATATTGTATGATACTCAAGGGCGTCTTTATGGAAGAGCTGAGGGATAGTGTTGAGACTTATCTAGATAGATTTTTTGTTATATTTTATTTTATCTAGATAAATAATGCTAAGTTATCTAATTACTTATCTAGATAATTGTCTGTATTCTTGCCAAGATTAGAGTTATTTTTATTCTTGTACAGAGACGAATCCAACAAATCAAAGATCATAAAAATCGGTCCAGCCGTTCTTGAATTATAAATTCTGTAGCTAACCCGACTTTCTTATATATATATATATATATATAAATATAGATTTTGTATTTATAATCATAATTCGTATATTATTAATAAGTAATTAATATTTCTTGGTATGACATTTTGTTTGTATTTTAATGTCCGGAAAATATTTTTGGTATTTTTAAACTTGATTTCTTATTTTTCCATGGAAGTTTCAAATATAGTAGGTATTTGATTTTAGTAAACACATGTAACTCATATGTTGAATAGTCAATACTTTACTCTTGGAACCTGTAGTCGTAACTACTTATAGAATAATGAAAATCATCAAATCAAGATTATATAGAAAACAATATTTTTAACTTAAAATAATTTCTTATGTATTCTGTATTCATCCTGATACTTAGAGCAATTTTCATTTTTTTTTTTTTTTTGTAACATTTTAGTGATGTTTAGTCACTGTGGAAACTCATATTATCATTGTTTTTAAATTATTAGTTACAAATTGTCCATGTTATGTAGTGTACCTATTAATTTTCTATTATTATATAGGTATTTTATTTCATTAGTTTTGTAAATGATAATTATAACTATGTAGGTATTTCATTTCATTTTATTTCATTAATTTTGTAAAAAAAAAATTATATTTATATAATAAAAATTTTAATTGATTACTAAAATTTTAATTTTTGTTTTTATTTGGTTGAATCGTGACATTTTGTTATGACATTTCCCAGTCTCTCCCTCCAAAAAAAAAAAAAAAAATTAAATCCAAAGACCCTCCTGATGGTACTGCATTTTGGTTTGATTGACAACATTATGACGACTATATTAATAAATTGTAAATAGTTACTTGCCACCTTGATTCTAGTTTTAGATTTATACATTTTCATATTGAACTTTGTATATTTTTTGAAGTTTTTACGATTTTTAAGATGAATAGAATAATATTACTAACCATCAACACTTTTGGTGAAATTAATTTTCAATAAACTCAATGCTAAATGTATGATGATAATGTTTTTGAATGAAGAGATATGTAAACAAATCATCAACATTTGCACAGTGAATTTATGTGAATGAAAAAATTATTAAAACTAGGAATACAAAAATGTTTTGAGTAAATATCATTTTTAAATAACAGTATATAGTACTTGTAACGTTATCGAAATAAACGATTTTCACGAATTTCCATTTAACGAGGGAAAAATACAGTATGAAAAGTCGCCACATGATTATTCGAAACAATTTGAAACGTTGGGAAAATTTCTGTTTGATGCATTAGCATAAATTGCACTTGCATTCCCCTCACCACCCATCACCGTCATCGGCACCACCGCAGTCTCCAGCACGCGCCCATGACGAATCAATAACGTGTTTTTGGAAAATCTCTCGTCGTTCGTGTGCGCATTAGACGATATTATAATTACTATTGTTACTATTGTCGTTACATTTATTCGGTTTGATATACCTACGGTATTTTTAAACGAGTGAGTCAAATAAATATGTAATAAGTAGAAAAATACCAATAAAAAATAAAAATAAAAAAATCTGTAAAAATGTATTTATAAACTTTCTATTGTTTTGATTTCATTTTGCAACATGAAACTCTCATTTCTATGATAATAATAATAACAATATCGCGTTCCAAACGGATGACTTGGCGAATTCAATCAATACGTCACGTGAAAATTCATTGCACTCCGCGTCTTGTGCATTAACACGTCCGCACGCCGTGCCACACCGGTACGCGAACGACCCGGACGAAATATATTACGATCGCTTACCCGCGTGATTATTATCATAGTACATTGCATGCAAAAGTACGCAATAAATACACGAACGATTTATCCGCAAAACGATAAACATTTCTAGTTGTGAAAAATGAAACTTACGCGCATGTAGCAGGTGCACCGCGGCCGCGCGAGGATTAGGATACTCGAGAAAGTTATTACAGCCAACTCGCGAAAATTCTATTATTTTCACTATTTTGCTATTCGTGGTTTTCGATTGCGAACGGTGCTGTTATTGTTCGACAAAAAAAACGAAAAAATAAATATAATACGTAGGTAACCTGCGGTGTGATGATTCCAGTGGTCAACGAGACTGACAGATAAGACATCGTCGCATAATCGTTTGTCGCGTTTGACTTGACGACGATTGTTCCTCTCAAATGTTGTGTTTTCAATAAAATTAATATTCCTGCTGTTCCAGCAAATAAACCGTAATGGCTCTTGACATTTTTTATGTTTAATTTCATAAGGAGGATTTTTTTTTTGAAAATGTTTGACTGTCATTTTCAAATATCAAACTCTATCATGAGGTGAATGATTTATAAATATTACAAGTTTAAACTGACGGAGTAGTGCACCAAGTAGTGCTCATAAACTATGTTAGATTCCGTCAACAATTTCATTCCACTCAACTGCGTTGCGCTTGCATTATATAAAAATTTACCGATTCAATTCTTAGTTTTCATATATTTTCTAAGGAATAGAATGTTCTCCAACAACGTTTTAAATTTCAAACATATTATATTTTCCAGAAAAATAAGCGAAACCCTAATAAGGTTCATTCGAAACAAAATAATAAAAATACTGTTCAATAATACCTCCAATATTAAAATAGCTATGTTTATTATACGGATAAAATAAAATATATAATAAATAAATAGAAATCTTAAAATATTAAGTTAATCGTTGTTAGACTATATACCATAAATACTTCTGAGAAAATCAAAAAATGGCTCGTTTAAAGTAATATGTTAACCAAAATTCAGACCTAATGAGGGGTTTGTTGGTGCAATTTCACCATCCATAAGTTAGATCACAGAATAATGCATATCACGTAACATTTATAATAATTACTACTTCCTTTATCCGACCGGGTAAATGTTTTTGAATCAAGTCGAACAAAGTTAAACAACCCTCATTACCAATAATTATATATTTTCTTGCTGATGTTATTTTATTCTCTTTGCATATAATTAAATATAACAACCTCTATAGTTGTTTTACAAAGTTATCGTCTTACTCAAATGGTTTTTCTGATTAATAACGTTTGAATATCTACAAAAGTCAATTGATACGAATACAAATTGTACAACATTTATTTAACGATAATTAAAACTTTGAAAGTATAAATTTACTATTTTGAGTTAAAAGTAATTTGTTAATAGCAATGCTTGTTTACGATTTAATCGTTTTATTGATAAATAATAGTAATAATTTAGTGGATGTTATTATATGATTTCTGTAGGTATTAAAAAATATTTAAGTGATTAAGTATTCAATACTCAAAACGAATCAAACATCAATGGAAATTAATTTTGAAATCACCTATACAATACTGTTAAAAAATAAAACACTGTTTACTTTTCTTCGAAATGTAAACACGTTATAATATTTTACATGGTGACAAATTATCGAAAAACATGTATAAGGAAAAAAATCATAATTTTAATCGCGCCTACAAAATAAATAATATTATTTTTAAAACTTTGTTGTATTTCCACATAAACGTATCTGTTCCTTCGTACACGCAATAAATCGAGGAATAAATTAATAATAGTAATAAAAAAAGATTCTCGTGTGGCGATAAAAAATCGTTATTACGTTTCCCCATTTATCGAACGTGTACGGAATTGAGTAATAAATAATTATGTGAGTATTCGATTTTGGTGTATTTTCGTGAATAGTAAAATATTTTTACCGAAAAAAATTACCATAGCCAATTGGATTGATCGAAGGTCGCGTTTGAACCGAATATACTTTCGACTTTCCCGTATCAACCGGGACGGTTCGGCAAATTCTAAATGCAATAATAACTTATGCATCCTACTCGACTTAGCTGGTTGTCACAATAACAATTATTATTGTCCCATACATGCGAATAAAATAATTGAATGCGTATAACAGTGTTGAAAAACGAGTCTGATAACAAATCGCCTCGCGCACAAACATTCGTTTACCGTTTGAGCCAAATCCGTACAGCCAACAGTACAGGTAACCGTAATACCGTTATAGTCATACAATATACGAGTGGACAGAAACGAAGAAGGGTGTATGTGCTTACTGTCCATATCGACAATAACATTATTATACGGGGGGTTAAGAGTTGAAATAACGCAATCGATATTCGTATTTTATCATGACACACTATATCATTATAATATATGTTCGATTTGTACATTTTTCGTGTTTTTATTATTATTTTTATTTTGCAGGTATTATTTGTGGCTAGTACCCATAATAACGTTCCTGATACCGTCTTTGATTCCGTACTGGGTATGCAATGAACGGTTTTTGTATTCCTTCGTCGTGGTTGGAGTCACGCGTTACATGCTGTCGTTACACTTCACGTGGTTGGTTAATAGCGCCGCTCATATTTGGGGTACAAAACCGTACGACAAGTTAGTACCCACAACGTTATTATTATACGTCAAAGAACTTGATTAATTTATGAAAGATATTAACCTAAAATTATTTGTAATTATTTGACCTATTGTCTAGAAATTCCATAATGTGGCTCGGTCGATTTTTCGTATTAAAACTTTAAAATCATAGCAAAATTGAATGTCTACACTATATGACAATTACTATTTTATTTTGGAGTGCGGTTCGTCGCATTTTAGGTTTTTGAGTTTTTGAAACTTAACGTATTATTTATAGGAGAATACACATTTTATTTATGACGCGTCATACATTCGGGTTAAAATTATATAAATATACATAAAATAGTAGAATATAGTTAGTTAAGTTCTCAAAATCATTTCAGTAATATAATTATAACACTACTTATGTCAATATAATATGACTAACGAATATGTCAGTATAATCCACTAAACTACTCTAAACTAAAACCCTCCACTCATTATTGAAGGTATTTAAATATCTTCAATTTTTCTATAATTTTTACCTAATCTACTTAAACATCATTACTCGAATTGTTTATATATTATTATTATTATAGTTTTAGAAAGCTGTTAATATATTTGTTACTTTTGTCATATTAAGTTATAAAGCTCATATTTCTCATATGAAATGCAGGTACCTATGGAATTAATTTGAGAATATTATCACTAACATGTACAACAAAGGAGTAAGAAAAAACGATTGGTGGTGCAGTGATTAATTACAATTTTTAATAATTAATATTTTGGTAATAACAAATAATTGCTATAATACGCTACTGATGATTTTTTTTTGTAATTTTAAAAATAATAACTTAACCATTTAAAGTAAAAGTAAATGAAGAAACTAAACTTGAAAACTTTTTTTACTTGAAAATTAAGATGTTGAACAGTTTTTGAATATTGTAACGATCCATTAATCTATATATATCTATAAGTATATTATCTAACGATCATTAATTTATAATCGTTTTGTCATAATGGAACCACTTTTTGCTTAATGTCCGTCTTATGAAATTAATAATAAAAAAATTATACCTACGGACAATATTAATACCTATAACATAACCTCGAATATTTTCAATTACTTCATACTTTTATTGATGATTCCGCGTGAAAGTTTTAATTATGGTCGAACTTCTTTAATATTAGTTGTCTGCTTGAAACTACGCATAACAGGTTTCCACCAAATAATAAACGCAAAATTTGGAGCAATGTAACACGTTTTAACGTTTGGTATGAACATAAATTAAATTAACTTTTATAACTGAAAAATGTACGTCCATTAAGTATTTGAGGTCACGTTCACCACCTAGCTTAGAATACTTTCAATAATGAATTCAATTAAAACAGCTTTTTCCCGTAGTAACTAATCGAATTCAAAATCAAATGCTATATTATTGTATGGTACACAAATATATTTTATTGCTAGGAACACATGGGTACTGCATTTAACATATAGCACGCTTGGATGTAAATAAAATATTGTTATGTAAAATCAAAATCTAATTTAGTTATAAATTCTAAACAAACTTTCAAATACGATTCGTGAACCTCAAAGGTATTATTTAATAGCTTTTACTGTTATTATATTTCACTATTTTGTCTTTATTTTATATTTTTATTTTTATTGCGTAAGCTATTAACCAAGAATAAACAATTATTCTCCAATGTTTTCTTATAAACATATATAATTATGTATGTAAAACACACTCGATAATTCGTGGGGCTATGGTGAAATTACAATTATAGTCACATATTATAAGTAGATAGTGCCTTGTATTAACATGATTCAATCGATTGGCGAAATCAATTGAGAAAACGTGTCCTCTTTTCGAGAAATACACCGAATGATTAAATAACAAACTACTGAAAAGATCGTTACATTTGTTTAGATTAAGATAAAAGACTACACAGTGCCTAGAGATTCATCATTTTTTAACATCAACAGTTAGAAGAACATAATATAATGAAATGCTGTACAACTTAAAAGCTCAGTACAATATCAAATCAAAGCACTTCCAAGTTAACGAAATTAAAATGTGTTCTGTAGAAATATTTTACAATTATTTTACTAATTTTGTTTGAAATATAATAATATTTTCGTGTTAGATTAAGTATCACAAGGTATGGATATTATTTTTCTTCTCTGTTTCACACAGTCACGCTGTAATTCGATATTTTAGTCGATTCGCGTAATCGTTACGGTCAGGTTAGTGAGCTGAGTTTACAAGATTTTACTATGATGGACTCGATTGCTTGGTCGATTCATGAAAAATTTAAATAATCTTTATTAAAATGTACGGGGATAGGCTAAACATTTATTTTTTAAAAAACATTCATGTAATTTGTATTTACTCGTATTTTTGTAAATGTAATAATACCATATATTATCAACTAGTAGTATAGTAACCTATTCAAATTATAGCCAACAATAGTTAGTGAAAACAGTTTCTAATTAATTTTAAACAGTGGAACAAAAGATGGAATTTTTTACTCATTGTTTTTTTTTTTTTTTTGAGGGGGGAGGGAGTGTGTATACGAAATAAAATGTTACAATGGCCAATACCACATTTTTAAAATGACTGTATTATTGATCATATCATAATTTGTAAACTGTATAAGTACACTGTAATCAAACTCTAGTAAACCCCAATACGTGGAAAAATATTGGATAAATTTGAAAAGTATATGCTCAAGGTTAATCAGTACAACAGGATTTATCAGCTGTCAAGCTTGGACCCTAACGTTATACACAACTCACGTACATACTTCGCATGAATCTTGCATATACCTAGGTCGTATACGCGTTGATGAAACTAGGAAGTGGTGCTTAATATCATCAGTACCCTTCGGGTACTAATAACTATATGACTAAGAACACTCTAAAATTAAAAAATAAAAGTACAAACATTTTTACGTTTTATCGTACAAAGCCCGTATTAACAAATCGATATTTAATGACGAATTCTATCTTTTAGCTACTTTTTTAAACATTTCATCATTATCTATTGAATTTTTTATAACTATCCGTAGAAAAAATGCGCGGAGTACGAGCACATCGTCCGTATCAAATGTCTAGTTTTTTTTTCTGTCCAAACTTCACGTATGTTACATCTATATTAACAGCGTGTGTTATTACAATGTCTCGCGCATATTATCGTTTGTATTACATCAAATGCGTTTTCAGAAACATCACGCCCACGGAGAACCCCACCGTGGCGTTGTTGGCATTCGGCGAAGGATGGCACAATTACCATCACGCGTTCCCTTGGGACTACAAGGCGGCCGAGTTGGGCAACTACCGGCTGAACCTGAGCACGGCTTTTATTGACTTGTGTGCACGACTGGGGCAGGCGTACAACCTGAAAACGGCGAACGCGAGTCTGGTGGAAAAACGGTCCCAAAGGACGGGCGATGGTACCAAAGATCACAACCACAATCATCGCCACAATCCTCACCACGGAGAATTCTGGGGATGGGGTGACGAGGACATGGCTGAGGACGACAAACGGGTCGCGAAATTGCTCTACTAGACGTTCTTTCTTTTTTTTTTTACGATTTTTATTTTTTAATTTTATTTTTTTTTCCGTCGATGTATTTTCAAAGTAGTGTGTAAATAAAATATCCTCTACAATCACGTGTTTAAATGTGTTAAATTTATATTTAATTTTTGTTTTTTTTTTATATACATAATATACGTATTATATAATATATATATATATATATATAATATACTAGACATATTTTTATAATTATATTTTTATTTTTTTTTTATGTAGTTTTTAATGAAATTCTATTATGGTATTTCTTCTTTTTTTTCGTCCTCATTAATTTATCAATTTTTTTTTTTTACATTATTGTGATTTCAAAGAACTGAATGATATATATATATAAAATATTGTTTTGACATTAAATATTTTATTATTATTATTTTTTTTTTTATTTTAATAACCATATATAATTACAATGGTCAAAAAAACCGTGTACTCAAATTAGACTACATCACGTAGTGCAAAAACAGGCGGTACAAGTATAAAAAAAAAAATGCAAATCTTACAGGGGTGTACTTAAAATTTTGTCTTAAATTTAATCTAAAATTTTAACTTGTAAATGAAAAAAATCCATGATATGCCCTATTTTGACCAATAACCAAACCAAAAACAATAAATCATTAAAATCGTATACAATATGTACCCTACAGAACGAGTGAAGACGAATTTAATTCTGAAAAAGTGCTATAGAAAAACAGTAATACCTAAATCCTTAAGCCCGGCTCTTAACTATTATTATTCCATCATTTAATTTTGATCATACATTTAAAGTTGATAACTATTTCATCTTAATTACTCAGTCACAGCAATTAATGTATTTCCATGTGAAATCATTCATAATTCTTTATGTTACTGTTTTGAATTAAAATAAACACTTGTGTTCGTAGTATGTGGATTAGACCATGTGTAAATAAAATTAACATCATTATATTCAAAAAATTATTTATAACTTCAACTAGGTGTATGATTTAATTATTTTAAAGTCAACACAATTATAGACCAAGATGTCCTAGGCATATACTCGTATTTCGAGTACAAATTTGCGATGTCTTTAATTCGGTTTACCCATATTGGACTATATCTAGTATTGTTCAAACGTTTTAAAAGAAATACAAATATTTTTACAATTCATTAAAAATATTTTGTACATTAATAGATATTTTTTTTTTTTTTTGACACTTATATTTTCTTTATAACTTAATAGCCCAAGTACACTATGGAACAGGTATAACCACTTACAAAATTCAATGATACTCTTATAATTAATTACAAAAATAACTGATTGATAGATGGGATCAATCTATCACATGGTCTATTTTAGATATAAATGCTACATAAGTCAATGGCAATATATGAACTCACATATCATGTGCAAACATTTTAATTGGTGAAAAAGAGTTGTGAAGTACCAGATGATATCTTCTTATCGTGTCCGGTGCTGGGGCTATATGCTATTACATTAATTAATAAATGCTTACATAAAGTAATATAAAAAATAAGTAGGTTAAAATTTTAATAAAAAATATAAAATAAATGTTTAAATAGTTTTAGCCAGTGAGTGACCATTGCTATTGCTTTTTCGTTGGTTAAAGCCAAGTCGTCGGTCATACTTGGCAGGGCTAATGTACTGTAATAAATGGTCGTCTGATTGGTCTTCACAACATTCGTATATTATGTCCAGTTCTTTCTGGTATCCCCATTTCATCATGTTTGCTTTTGTTTTAGCAACTCCAATTCTTAACCTATTTAATGTCTTACATATAATCCATGGTTGGTTTCCTCCACATAGCAAATTCTCAGCAGGCGGGACAGGTTTTTCAAATTGTAACTCTTCTCTCTATTTTCGTATTCTATGTTGTTCCGGTGAATCTTGGATCGACCAGATGAAATAAAATTTTACAAAAAAAATAATATAAATAAATACATTAATTTGATCGATAATCTCATAAAGGTAAAAACGGAACTTATATACCTGTTAACCCTGTTTTATTATCTTATATTTTCTATCCTAAAAAAAAAAATAAATATCTAAAATGAATTTGATTGGTAAATAAAGTAAGTTAGTTTTTGATGAATTATCATTTATGTTACTACATTTTCTTGGAAAATATTTTTTTTATATTTTCTAATATATTTTTTTTTGGGAAAGACATTTTAATATATTTTAAATATTATAACAATAACAATAAATTAGATAATTTCCAAAACAATATCATAATCACGTATAATACTTACTATGATGTTGATGTATTCATCAAATTTAAACTTAACAATTGATTAACACCATTATTTACTAAGAATAAAACAATTATCAATATAGTAGAAACTACGAGATACATACGGCTATAGCCCATATGCGCAAAATATGATCCAAACGCAACTCAAAAGCGCAAAAATAAATAACATATAAGCGCAAAAAAAATTACCTTTTTAACAACCCATAAGCGCAAATCCATTTTACAAAAATAATGTGTATTTTATTAAAATCATATAATTATTAAACTTTTAGTGATAATAAAATTAATTCAAAAATTTGAAATTTAAATTATATATTAGTAGTAAGTATAATATTATAATGAGTACCTTAAATAAATATTAATATTAAATTTGAAGCTAACAGTTTTTAAATATTCTAATCTGCAAATTTTTTTTCAGTATACATGTTCAATGCATTTATATTGGAGTTGACTTTAAAGCTGTTGTGGTTTTTCGTCCATTTGATTGCATTTTTGAATAAACTTCGGCCTGGTGTTGTTTAAGCACTTCGATAAAATTATAAATAGATGGATGTGGGTTATAATATTGATCTTTCAAATGATGACGGTATAATTCTGGATCAGTAGTCCTTGACTCGTTTGAGGGCACCTTCAGCCTAGAGGTGCGGTAGATATCTGCTGTCATTTTCAATAAAATTTGCTAAAATATAATCAGAAAATGCTGATACCTCATCATTGTTAGGAGCAAAAGAAAATAGCTCACAATACGCATCAGATATTTCAGCGGAAGGTAAAAAAACCAATCCAAAAAAAATCTTTAACCAATTTGAAATTTCTAATTAATTTTTGTCATATTCAATTTTAAGTGCCAATTTTCCCTATAATTTAATTTAATTATTAATAATCTTAAAATGAAACTTAAAGTATAACGGGTGCAATATTTCTTTTTGCGCTTTTATCTCACTACTAAGGTACAAAAGCGCAAAAATGAATTTGCGCTTTTGGGTTTCACCGATAGATACTTGTAGATCTCTTATTACACGTGTCACGGAATTCACATTTCAGTGAAACATGTGTTTATCCATTATAAAATCATATTTATTACCTTATCTTAATTCTGTATAAATAATATTATTTTAAAATTTCAAGTAAGTGCTTAAACACAAATTTACTAATTTATCATTATAAAACAGATGTATGTATATTTTAGATAAATACATATTTCATTCACATGATACGTGTAATAAGATTTATACTAAAAACATAATTATTTTGAGTTTATTTTTGTTTCTACAAGTACCTACCTACAGTTATTTATATGAGGTACGAAGGTTCACACGTTACGATTTCGAAACTCTATACTAAAAAAAAACCCGTGGTACGTAATTAAGCGAGTCATATGAGCAATATTGAACTCAACTGAATATCTCGCGTTACATTAATTAAATTTAACTTTTTAATTTCATATGTATGACTAGTCAATATTTTATGTTTTTTCATGGTATCACTTTATCAAGCTTGGTTTTTTTTCATCTTCACTCCTTTTTACTACCTCCTTAGGGTTCGAATTCTGGAAAATCCTTTCTGAATGGACATCCAGAGCGTTAGTGAAACCACTGTGTCAAATTGTAAGTTCATACGGTCCGTCGTTTTTGAGATATAGCAATGTTCAGTGAGTGAATGGTATTTGGTTTATATATATATATATATATATATATTGCAATACAAAAACCGTTTAGTGGAAAAAGTGTACGTTTGCATTTGGTTCCCAAAAATGATACAACGTATACTTGTACTCATAACATGTAATATTACACAGCTTACGTACGCGTCCCCGGAACACAGGGATGATGCGTGATCATGAACTCGACAACATAACTAACTAAAAATAACAGCGACTGCTGAAAATTGATAGTTTGGCGGTGGTTTGACATGATGATGTGTTTTTTCCACGGGTTCAGTAGATAAACTTCCAGCGTACCATCGTAATCCCGTTGATTTTATTAAGACATTAAAAAAAACGTGATTTCACTTAGGTTCGGATAATTTCCACGTCAAACATAGGTAAGTGGTTACATAATACTCGTATATAAGTTTTACGCACGACCAATAATAAAAAAATGCGATTTCCTACTGGACGACACATAATCACAGCATTACTTTCTAAACGGTACAATCGGTTAATAGCAAACAGATAATGTACTGTTATTATTTCATGAACCTATTTTATACGTGTTTGATGTTCAAATTCGATATTCTGCGTTCGGTTGAAAATTGAATTTGATATTAGACTAATTTAAACGTATTTTAACCGCACCAACTATACGTTTATGTTATCGGTCCTAAGTAGTAATAAAGTGGGAAGGACATATTTTTATTTACAATTTCTGTTCGTGCAGGAATTTACATAATATTATATATTATATATATAATATATTATTATAAAGGTATACACGTATTTTTTTTTTTTTTTTTTTACATAAAAACTGATGGTAAGTTAGTTGCGATTTTTATCCACTGTGTCTCGTGTGAGAACTTACAATCGACCACACAATGAAATATGACGCATTCGCTTGTTCGACATATCCGTTTCAGTCAAATGGGTGAAATTCTGAACAGACGAATACACATATTGTGTGCAATATTCTCTAACCGTGCGAATGCGTGTATAATAATAATGCTCATACAAAGCACACCTGATATACAACAACTCTACCGCAAGACCTTCGTCCGTGGTGTCCCGCCAGTGTCTTTTTATTATTTTTAAAATTTATTTTGTAGACAGAACATTAATTTCCGTATCAACACATGGAGAAAGCAGAGGTTCGGGGTAGGCAAAGTGATAAAAATATGTATTTCACCAAATCACATATTCGGGTACGGTTCGAATTGAAAAATTCACTGCCAAAATATTTAAATAAATTTAAATTGTCTATGAACTCTCGTAATTTACATGGCGGAGATTATTATAATAATTTAATCATGCGTCCGGAAAACATTATTCCATACTCCGACGCTACCACGACGAGTAATTGAAATACGTCCCTATGCCAATTATACGGGAATGCAAAATGATAGCTAAAATCGTACGAAATAACATGTTCACAAATGTATTATTAATTACGTCAAACATGATGTTAAGCGTGTTTCTTCGATCACCGGTTCAGTGCCAAATAAGACAGTATATTATGCTATAATAGATCATTGAACCATCTAAAACAGCAATGAACATGTCCAACACGTTCTAAATACATCACCTAGTGCTATACCGTAACGTTGTAGCATATAAGTTAACTAACTAACCTGTAGGTGTATTGTAAAAATGACCGACTGGCCGTTCATTATAACCATAAGCCATAACATATTTTAGCTATTTAACTCCTGTTTCAGCCACTTTCTGTTGTTTTTTCCTTACATATTTACTGGCTATTGTAAGTGAGAACATTTCAAAAGCTGATACCTGCAATGTTAAATTCGGGTTCAACTAACTGCTCATCAGATAAGGTATTGGACATAAAAATAATAATCATTTCCAGATAAAAAGTTGTTTACGAAAAAAAAAAAACACCATTGACAATCGCTTAAGTCGCATAAAAAAAATGTAAAGGAATGGGCACGCGTTCGTTTTTTACAATAAAAACGAGGAACGGGAACAAGTTCCTTTTTAAAAAAAAATTTCCCAACACTGACACTCCAACTATCAATCGACTTTCCAACCAGACGTAACGTCATATTTCAACTTAATTGTATTCGTTCTAAAATAATATAAATACAAAAGACTCTTGGTAAAAAGTTAGTTCAAAGGGAAACAAAATATTCGACTTACTAAGGATTTCGAGTTATCAAAAACTTAAAAAAAGGATATTATATAAAGTATTTTATAAACATTTTATTTGTTATAAGTTTTATACAGAGAGATTATATATTAAAGTTCTTTGCGAGTTGTCGAGATTTCATTTAAGTGTTTTAAAATTTCATCTTTATCTTATATTATTATAGAAAACGTTTTCGCTGTAATTCTAAAATCATTAGCTTTTTCTTATTTTTCTTTTGAATTTTACAATAATTTTATATAAATTCAATTATTCAGCAAGTGATAATGTTGTTAATTTTATTTTTTGAGTCATAATAACGCGTGTTATAATCCACTGCATTACTACTGGCACACTCGAACATCGTACGATTAAACAGATAACAAGAAACTAAAAATGAAATATACTGTTTAGAGTAAAGAAGGTTTAAGTTACCAATAGTCGTCTATAATAGTTGAGTTTTACAAAAAGATATTTTTATTTTTTTTATTAAGAAAATATTACAAATTGTATACACATTAATACATTAAGTAAGCTTTTATCACGAAATTAATATTTACTAGACTTGAACAACATAAACGAAGAAGGAAATACCAATTCAAAAAGTTATAAGGGAAATAAAACCACAGTGAATTTTAGTACTAAAATTGGATGAGAAAATTCGAAATATTCAAAAGTTATCCAATTCATTATGGAGTAAACAAAATTATTTAAACGTTAAATGTTATTATTATTGGAAAAGGAATTTTATTTGTTCAATATATCAAGAATTTCGAATAATTAAGATTCGAGTCACCAAGAGCCGATTGTATTAAGTATTCAAGTATTCTTTAAATAATTATTTATTTTAATTTTGTTACGAAATAAAACATTTTAACGTAATATAAATTATTATTACTACCTATCTTATTAAACGCATGTATGATAAAATCATTTTTTCCCTCTTAGAAGAAAACACTGTCTTCTGTAATATGATGAAAACCACTTTCAAAAATGATTTTACTCGAAACGGATGAAAGTGCGTTATGTACATTTTACCACTGTTTTAGCGGTGTACACGAAGATCGCAGAAAATTAATAACACTTATAATATTGTTCGAGCGATATTATGTTCTAATCAAAATATCAATGCAGGTCCTTCATCGAAGTTATCGTCGGTTAGTCGGTGTTGCACGAAAGTAGCGACTTCGTCGAAACGAAGTGTTGGTTTTTTAATAGACCATTTCGCACAGTCGCGATCGCGTGCGATCGGCAACATATCGGTAAGTAAGAGGACGATGGGAAACAATCTTGATAAACGAACTAAATATGTAATATTAATAGTATAATGAAAATAATAATAATTGTTTAACACGAGAGCGAGTTTTTCGCGTGACGATCGTTTTCTAGTAGACCGCAGGATCGAGTGCCGTCCCCGTGGTTATCGGCCACGCGTCGCACCAGCTCCTCCGACGGCGTCTTCAGGTCGTATGCCCAACCCAGCAGGGCGAACGCGTCCAGCCACATGGTGGTCACATTCAGCGCGTACGTGCCCAGCTCGGCAGCCCTGTAGTCCGACGGGAACGCGTGGTGATAGTTGTGCCATCCCTCGCCCATGGCCAGCACGGACACGGCCGCGTTCTGCACCGGACGTATGTGCCTGTGCGCAAGAAACGTAAACGGGTTAGGTGATTCTCACAGAACCGGCCCCGAGGACCGAAACGATCGGTTTTTTTTATTTCATCGCCTCGACAAAAACGTGATCTGGATGGACACATGAACGATGCACCGATTAGGGTCGATTGTTTTCGTTCCAGCGATGCCTTCTAGACCGCGAACGGACCGTACGAATCCGGTAAGAATCCACGGGCCAGTTGCACAGGTAGAACTAGGAATTTTTACGCCCAGGGAAAATGTTAAAATTATGCCCTATCATAGACTAATAATCAATTACTCTTCTCGAGAATTTTTTTCTAATTGTTAATATGCAATCGTACTTATTGAGTTTTAACCTAATATCAGTATTTTTTACAAATTTAAAAACATCAAATAAGTTGTTAATAATTACAAAAATTACACCCTCTAAAATGTTACACCCGGGGATGAATCCCCATCTTCCACTGTTCTAACACTGCCTCTGGCCAGTTTTCGATCGAATCAACGATATTAAATTGGAGCGCGCGCGTGCATTCGTCATGTACCAGCTTACTTGTCGTACGGCTTGTTTCCCCATATGTGAGCTACGCTGTTGACGGACCACGTGAAGTTCAAGCTCAACGCGTACCGGAAGATACAGATCACATTGAACGCATCCGCCCAGCTTTCGTTCCACGCCATCACCGGGATTATCGTCGGCAGGATGAAACACAACAGCAACTTGAACGACAAGAAGTGTCTGTTGAAACAATATATATAGTAACAGTAGCAGTTAACACGTATGAATCACGTAATTATTTGTTACTAAATATTTAATAAATCGTGATTCGTAAGGATTTGTTTGCACATTACCCGAACATGTAAGAATTTGATGCTGGATAAATGTTTCCCCAAGGTCTCCCGAACGCAATCACAGATGGTTGAACGGTTTCGTCGTTCTCATTGTTTACCGTGGATTTCGTACGTCAGTTCGCAATACTTTTACTGCCCCTCTCACAGGTTCAGATTTCGATTCTCGCATTCACACGTTTCCCCCCGGTGAATATGCATACTAAATATTTTTAGCGAAAAAAATATAATTAAAAATTATGATATTAATTTTAGAAGATACTCGGTTAACGTATACGTTACTTAGATTTTTATTTGCTTTATTATTATAACCATCTTTGATTTGATTTAGTTGTGGTTTTATTTCCCCGTCTTTTAACATTACTGTTTATTACGATGAACGTGCACTGGTAGAACTTAATCGTATAGATAGTGTCATACGGAAATGATATCGTAAAAATAATGAATTAACCGTTTAATACAATATATTTCGATACATTAATCATTGGTCTATGCGAAGATTCTCGTATCTTGTGTTTTAAATAGGTCAGTTGAACAGTATTGGACAATGTTTACACGCAAAGGCATAGGGTACGATTTTGACAAAAAATAGTGTTTTTTTTTTTTTTTTTTAAACTGATGTTACTAAGTTGCAAATATCTTTTTTTTTTTAAGGCAACAAGATACAAAAAAGTGTCATGATGACCACCCTCGTAACATGCACTATCTCTAATGTCGTAAAAAGAATCTGTTTTCTAAGGAACTTTCTTATCAGCACAGTGTTATTTTAACCTCGTTAGATCGAACCCCAATATAGTGACAATTATTAAATATAAAATATTTACGGTTTTATGTACTTTTCTTCAATTTTTGTTCAATCAATTCGTCCTTATAATGTATACTTTGATGTATTAAACATCTTAACTAAGTATATTCATTTTAAACTTCAAGATACGGGATCAAATGAAACATTAGATTTTTAATCGACTTCGTGATCAACACTGCCCTATACATTCAAAACCCCTAATCTTACAGTCATCGTAGTTATGTGCGCGATTCGTCTGTTCAAAATGTTATGTTAAATACAACCGTACGGTTGTACGGAGGTAACCGGAAATCGGTTAACGGAGTGTCCCGTAAAACAGATCGATTATGCACTATGCTCACTTTGTATGGAACTGCACCAGAGGATCGTTGGCAATGTCTGACATGTTGACGGTCCTGCCCCGCCTGTGGACCTCGGGGTGTTTGCGTTGCATCAGCCAGCCGACGTGCGAGAAGAAGAACCCTCTGTTCGCGTTGTGCGGGTCCGCGTCCGTCTCGCTGAACTTGTGGTGCACCCGATGGTCTCGGACCCACGTCGGTATGGAGTTCTACGCGGGATCATAAAAAAACGTAATCGTCATCCGACAATCGAATAAGTGCACAATATTACCGCGCACGAATTACGCGCGCTTTGGTTACGTGGCTTTTCCTCGATTCATATGTATTTACGAATTTATTTTATTTATTTTTTCATTTCAGGTCAGCGACGTGATAAATATCATTTTCCGAAAAAAAAAACCTTTTAAATTTCATCACTCGGTTAGTCGAGTCCTATTGAGATTATCGAGCGTCGACGGTTCATGAGTCCAATCGGTACGGAACGTTGCACTGTGAACATAATTGTACGTCACGAGTAAAAACGTTGATTGGCTGGTAACACGACTACCGATACCATCTCTGCTGGTATTTTACTACCGTTTAGATGCGTACATAAACCCATTCTTTGATGTATGAGCTCAACGTTTACCGCGTCCTACTGTGCACTCGTTATTCGTGCTGTTTTTTTTTTTTTTTTTTTTTTAAAAAAATATATACTATTCAATTCCATCTTTGAAATCTAATTTTAAACATCATTAACTTATCACAATATTACGTTAGTATTTTACTCTATGTTATACAATACTAATCTAAATTCAATATTCGTTTGGACACAACCGATTTGAATAAAATTTTTTTAAATTTCGATTATCGAAGTGAAACTTCTTCAAGCGCGGTGGCGTAAGTCGAATTCACGGGCTCAGCCGTTGCGACCGAAAAGCGTTACAGGCGTGGCTTACATTGACATCGCCGCAGCCGCCACCAATACCGTACTACCGTAGTCTCGCACAATCATTGTATATTGTTTTAAAAACAATATGCGATGCAAAGATATTTATAAAATAATTACTTACAAAAAAAAAAAAATGTTTTTAGTTTCATTGACAGCAGCAGCGTGTTGTATACCTAACCATATCTATCTATACCTTGTGTTGCGCAATTCTGCTAATGCATATTGCGTTATTATTTTGATGATTTTTGTTTACTTTTGACTATTAATTATGAGTAAAACAGATACACAGCGAATAAATGTGTATCGCGAACAAAAAAAAGACGCAAAAAACGATAAGAATAGTAAAAGGTCTAGTGGAAATGTGTCGCGAATACAATGCGCAGAAAATGGAATTCCAAGTTAGCATGATCGATTATAACCAACTACTAAGTGCAAGTTGATCGAATAATAACAATAGTTTAATTCATTTAGCTCCAACATTTAACTTGTATTTTAAGAAATATCATACCAAAATATCTAACCAACCAATCTATAAATTATTAAATTACAGACATTTGTGAAGAATAAAGAGTCCCCTTTAATGTACTTATTGTGTTTAGTGTATATTAAATTCTCTACACTTTTGTTATGTCTCAATATGAATCAAAAGTTTCACTTCTTTCGTGCATGATCAAGAATACACAGATTTTATTGTTATTTTTATTTTTTGTTGTTATTAACCTAATTCTGTTTATAAAATATACTTTGTAAAAAGGTAGATGCCCATTAATACATATCCTATATAAATAAATAAGCAATAAATAGGCTAAAAAAGTGATAGAATGAAATAAAGAGGAAGATAGCAATTGGATTTTTCGAGTAAATTTTTCAATCATTGTCGAAATGTATTGAATTTTTAACAATACCTAATATGCAAAGATATTCAAATCTTTCCCAATTTTTTTTCTATTAAATTATTGATTTCTTAGCCATTCTTTTTATAACGATATTCATCTGATTAAATATACATCTATGAGGTATACCTGTCCTGATACTGTATAACACGCAATTAATATTAGTTGTAGTGGAAATTTCGCTTTGAACGATCTATGTGTATAATATCTATGTGCACCACCAGTAACTCCAAATCCGCCGATGCCTCCAACTATGAAACCTACAAAAATAAGAATGATTAAAATAAAATATAGTTTTTATAATATGCTAACCACTCAAATAATGTGATTATTCCCTTCGTTTCATCAAACGAATACAACAATAAATCAGTTTTGATTCTATTATCGTCCTATAATACACGAATTAGTACGTCTAGAAGCAACAAGCTTTCTTTAAAAGTATCCATACTGAAACTACATAATGGAAAATGTCACGGTATACATCTTTTCATTTTTCATTTTGATTTATTTATATCTTAACATTGTTTAATTAATTTAGTATAACCAATTTTTGTTAAAATGAATTAACAGTTGAAATTTTATCATGATAAATTTATCTTACTTAATTATCGCAATTACAAAACATAACAAAATTATATTACTGGTGTAATAATAAGTGTAGTTAGCTCACAGTTAATTGATATAAGATTATTGTATTTAAGAAGAAAAATAACATTAAAACTCTAATAATATTTTAAATAATATAGGATGATCATTGATCCCGAATTTTCCAGTACATTACCGATTTAGGAACTCATGTCCCGGTATCTGGAAAAAGTTATTTCAAACGAGAATAATTGTTTGTTACTGGGTTTAGTTATAAATAAAATAATGCTCTAAAATTTAAATTATTATGAGACGATTTTTTTTTTTTTTTTATAATTCTGATTAACATTTTTTGTTTGTAGTAATAAATCATCACTCACATCTTCGAATATAAACTCAAACACACTGTATCAGTGGCGGCTGATAAACTGACGACGGTAATATTTGCGGTGTCACCGGTAAAACGTATACATTTTTTACAAAAGTGGACTAATCAGACACTATTGGTTGAATTAAATAGGTTAAATGCAAATTCAAATTCAAAAAAATATACCATTACATGGCAGAATGACCAGAACATATTAAATTATATTTCAGAATTCATTGCAGTTGATTAATTCTATGAGTTTATGGCACTTATAAATATTTTTCAAGATAAATTCGATGACAAACAATTCTACTTCAACAAAAATGGTTGTAAATATTTTAAGTATTCAAAGAATACTACATGGATATTTCAACTCTTGCAGCATTTTTGAATTTTCTCTTTGTCAAGTTCGAGCGCATCAATAGAATGAGAGTTTTCATTAATGATTTCCATTTAGATCGGCGTTCGTAATCAAATGGATATTGCAACTGTAGAAAGTTTTTTGATTACCAAAACATGTGGACTATGTTACGTGGAACTTCATGAGGACATTTTTTAAATTTTTATAAAAAAAATCACTCGTTTCTGTTGAACGTCCACTGGACAACAATAACAAAGTTTAAAAAATGTTATCTATATGTCACTAAGAATTACAAACATATGTGGACTGAATTTATAACTTGAAAATTAGCTTTTATTGAAAATTAAAGTTTTTTTTCTCATTATATAATTTTAATATTGAGTGTTAAATACTTTATAATAACACTTACAAGTCATAAATATTAAGGTAAAAATTTTAAGATAAAGTTAAGACAGTTAGGTCAAAATGAAATGTATTGTCCTGTATTTCTTCAGATTAAATCGGGCCACCCTAAATTAATATGATAGTTATTTTTCAAACCCTATATCATAATAATTAATAGCTTATATTCAATGTATGTTATACATAATGTTTATATATTATATATATATATATATATATATATATATATAAACATTTACAATTATATAATATCTTGTAATTTATGTTGTTTTTATACTTTTAGATAGAAGTAGAACTATTATGTTGATTTTATTTTTTGCTATTCAACAAGTAAGGTTAAATAAAAATTTGTTACTTTTTAACATTATTCTGTTTTAATTTCCATTTACGTAATTTATAATTAAAAATACTAAAGTTTGTTTTTTAATTTTAATTTTTTTTTATATATACTGATAAAACCATTACTTTTTAAATTATTAAAATCAAAAGAAAATAGTTTTTGAATTGTAGTATGATATAAACATAAACTACGAAATTCGTATTTTGTTAAAATATATTATCTGAGAGTACTGTCACTGGACAGCCTCCCTTCTCATATTATTCTATTTTTATCAAATCTGCTTATTGTACATATGTTACAGATCATAAATTTTTCTATTTAATAAAAAAAAAAAATGTATTATCATACATTTTTATTTAAGTACCTATATAATTAATGTTTTTCTTTTACATTGTTTAGATTATAATAACTGAATAATATGTGTAGGTACACTATTTACATGTTTATTAATGTATTCTCACCCTTTATCATACGAAAAATTAAACTGGAAGGAGTTTAGTTAACTTAAACAATGGAAAAATAATTTAATACTACACATAAACAGTATAGTAATGTCTGCGTGCACTAACGTGAATACAATTATTAAGGTTTTCCCTACGACAATATTTAATATCCTTAACATCCTTATAGATAACTCGACAGCAACAATTAGCACAAATTTTACGTATACTTTTTTAAATAGTCTGTTCAAATACCTAGCACTAAGGGGGACCATAAACGTGAAACTCACCCCAAATGGTGGTTTGAAATTTCGTCGTGGTGATCATGTAGGACATAAAACTGTTGACGGCGAAGACGTGTAGCAGAACAATAACTATCACGTGCGTCCATATGATTTCTTGTCCGGTAACCTGCCAACGGAACAATTCCCCGAGACCGCCATCATCAGTTCTCTTATCTTCTTTGCGGACCTCTTGCAACAGATTAGTTTTCCTGTGCAACTCGTCGGCTTGGGTTATGGTCGTTGTGTTCGTGCTCGTTTGCATCGTGGCAACAGCGTGCAAAAACTACCTGTATAAATATCAACGTGCTCTGTCGATCATAAAAGTTTTATAATAATTATTCGTCGGGGAATCTTAATAAGGATCGTTGTGATCATTGCGAAAAACCAATACCACTGCTCATGGGGGACAACAAGTAAAACATGTTTGTTACCGTTCTTAGACATTCATTTTTTTTTCTTTTAAACTTAAGCACACAAAATTATACTATTGATTATTTATTGTTTATTGTGTTAACAACTCCACGATGCCATTCGAATGTCTAAATTCTCATTTAGGCTTAGAACGATGTACGCTTTGCTACTTCTATTCGACTGCAAACAGTTTTTTTACATTTCACTTGACCCTCAGCAGTTTTACAAATTTTCTTATTTTCTTTTTCTCTTTTTACAGCAAGGAATGTTGGGAAAAATTGTGAAAAACAACGAACTATACGTTAAACACAGTTTAGCCAATTTTATCAACACCTTAACCTGTTTTTGTAAACTGCATACAAAAAATTTTTTACACGCAATCATTTTCGCGAAATAATGTCCATTATCTTATGATGATAATAGAACAAAAATAAACGCTGATCGGAACACATTTAAACATCGCTGTTTTAAATATAAGCGACTGTGTTCTAATTATTCATAAATTATACGGAAAATTAATATTATAAACAATTTAAATGATAACTATTATAAACATTTAAACATCATTCGTATAATTCATTATACCATTTCACTGAATCGCATGTAATTATTCAAAAAAAAATAACTAGGTATAGTGTAATTTTTATTGTACATTATATATTGATTTGTTATTATTTATCGCAAAAATAATGTATTGTTCAACTCAAAATGTCCACAAAATAAATCATTTACTAATAATTAATCAAGATGATGTACAGCATTGATCTTGTAAAATAATTCTAGATAATACAATTTCAAATTTTATTTTAGAATAATGACGATTTCTTTATAAATTAAGAAATTATTACTATTATTCATGTATCCACTTTCACTAGTTATTAATAAATACTTAAACAGTACATAATTTTTAATTTTATAAAATAACTAGTAATTCTAAACATTTTTTAGATAAATATTTATATAACTTTAATATGAATGTATAAACTGTTATACTACGTTTACTTATAAAATAACTTTTTTTATATTTTAATGGTGGCTAATTATTGGACATATTGTTATCATGATGTTATAATGTAACCAATACTTTATGGTTTCCATAATAAATTACATTTTTTTTTTTTTAAATATTGCTTGAGATTTAATTAACTTTTCATAGAAGATTACTTATTTTTTTCTGTTACCCCATTGAAATATAAATAAATATATATATATATATAAGAAAATTGATTTTCTATTGATATAAAAGGGTCCTATTGCCCAAATAAGTTGATTTTGTTATATTAAATTTTGTTTGTCAATTCATAGATAACCATAATTTCGAAAAATATTTTATACATTTTTTTTTCAATATTTTAATTTTTTTAAATAATAATATATCTTTTAAATTCATATTGTGATTATTTGTATTAAATGGGTATGTAAAAGTATTAGAAGTTAAAATTAATGTAAAAAAATAGCAGGCAAAAAACACAATTTTTATTACTATTCTGTTTATCAAAACATACTTATAAATAATTTACTCGAAGTTCCATATTTTATTTTTATTTTTCATTGTTTTCGTACAAATATTCGGCAATAGAATATTAAATAGAAAATTTGTAGCTATATAAAAAATGTTAAATTCAATTGAATTACGATTAATAAATGTTTAATTTTCTTTTAAATGTTTTCTAGTGAGTATTTATTTCATATTTTTTAATTAAAGAAAAATGTATTAACTGTTGGTTGTCGAATGTGATGCAAAATGTATGTCGGAGTAACTTGAACAACATTAATAATTAGTTATGGTAATACTTTACTCACCTAAAATATATACGAATAAACCATCATAAGATAATATTTGATGTACCTGAATTGATATATTTGCTTGTGGTATTCGGAGCTACTACGATAAGTGATATTGCTCTTTTATTTCCTGGCAACCCGGCTAATAATGGTGAACGCCACACTAATACAATACGAGCCTTGTTTGGCGAAGGAATTGTATTTAATAGACAAATACCTTAGTATGACCTAGTTCAAAGTGTAAACAGACAATCCCGCTTATAAACATGCACGAGTATAAGCAGCACAAATGACATAAGTTAAATATTTTACGGTAAAAAAAAATTTGACTGAATTTGCTTTTAAACGATAAAATAAAACAAAAAGGAATATTATTATGTGCATGTAATATGTTATAGGTATAATTCACATGAGCGAAATGAACATTACATTATTCAAGAAAACTATGAAAAATAAAAATAAAAGTCAAATAAAAATTATATAACGAACAGTACATAACTATCTTTGACAACAAGAATATAGGTACGTGTATTCAAATCTATGAAATATAAGTTCTTATATCTAATGTAACATCCTTACGAACGCATATGTGTGTGACGTGTACGGTCGAATAATTATTTCAGTTTATGTTAACATAATTTTACTTATATGTTTTACAATGCGGAACAATTATAAATAATTATTGCTAATTAATACACTTGTGTGCGTCTACCATAAATGAAAATAATGTAATTATTTGGCAATTGCAACGTATTAAATAAGTTGGCATATTTATAAAATCAATGTTCGATTTAACAAATAATAATTTTTATTTTAATATTTTTATTGTTATTATATAAACAACACGCAATCTAAACTTGTCCTTGTAACATAAGTGATAAACAAATAGTTCATTAAGTTTTACAACGTTATTTTTAATTTTTTTTTTTTTTTAATTATAAAACAAAATAAAACATTCCTATCTATAAGCTATATATATACAAGTATATATGGATATTTAAACAAATTTATAGTTATTTTAGCAGATTAACACGATGATTATAAATATTTTTACATAAGTACTTTAAGATAAATTGATAATTTAAGCTATACTAAAGTTACAATAAGCTTACAATAATATAATAATATTTACAGTAATTTAATAACAGAGTATTACCGAGTAATTAACTTGTGTTAGTACTTTGGAAGAAGTGAATATGTGATGTTATTTTTAGTAACATCACCATTTGCACATATTTCGTCCTACTATTATCATTAGATAGTTATTGCATTAATTATAGTGTTATTTACTACGCGAAACATAATTTATCGATGATGTTATTAATATTATAACATCAAGAAGGGATGGGCCTCTATAAAATCAATAGAAAAGTAATTAATTGAATTAATTTTATGTCAACCACTCGTGGGTTATGGCATAATCAATATATATATATATATATATATATATACATATTAAATGTACTAAATTATGTTTAGTACATTTTAAGTTTCAGATAGTACACTTGTACACCAAGTCAACTTGACTAATTAAAGTTAACGTGTACGTACTGACGTACATGAGAATAGTAAATACATAAAAATGTACCACAGGATCTAACTCGATCTATTATGAACTTTTATAACGCAAATAAAATATAAATGACAAATTTTCGCTAGATTTATGTTATTTATTGCCGGCACGCGTATTATTGCACTACACTAGATTACAAGATTACAATTTTAACATACGCAATCCCTATTCATTTCTGCACTTGCGTGTCATGACGTGAACTCAACGGTGACACTTCACTTAATGCTTCGGAGTCCATCGAGGGCAGTGCTAATGCTGGATAGAAATGTTGATCGGACCGGAACCCAGAAGTGTTGCGAGTTTTCCATCTCCCTTGCAATCCGTACAACACTCGAACAACGCAAAAAAACTGTGGTGACACGGATAGTTCGCAAAAGATAGGTGTATTCACGGGCGTATTTTAGGGGGACGAAGGGACGACCACTCCCCTTGAATCCATATTTAAGGAATTGACTATATGTGAGATACATAATTCAAATTTTTTTTAATGTGGATCATTTTATAACGAAATCAAATTACGTGTGGGTGTGAATACTGAATTGGGCTATTTGCCTGATCCATACTTAGTGAAAAATCAAATAAAACACATGCGTAACTTTCAAAAAACAGGTGTTAAAATAGAACTACACAAAAGTCGATTTCTAGCTAAGTAGATCCGACATTAACTCAACTAAGTATGTTAAAGAAAAAATTTGAGTCCCCCCCTCTAGAAGTAAGTCTTAATACGCCCCTGGGTTTATTGTAGTTGCTACAATTGCAACCGAACTGATCGCTTTTCTCACGTGCAATTTCATCGTCATTGAACCGAGAATCGTCGCACTCATCACAGTTCGATTATTTCATGACGAGAATGGATGCGACTTCGACTCTTGATCGCGCATGGGTGAAACGGCAACAACCCGCTGACAGACGATGGATCGCGATCTATCCATCAGCGTGCTTAGGAAACGCGGGTTGACGATTTCTTCGCCGTGAACAGTTCAGCGCTGAATCAGTTCAGGTACGACGGTGATAATAATCGGTTCGAGGTGAAAAACAATCGTTCCCATATATGATATGACCTTGTGACCCCGGTGGGAGGGGAATCAGGGTGCGTTTACATGTGATTGAACGTAAGTACGCAACAACCCTCACCCACACTTCGCACAGCTCTTGTAGCTGTGTGAAGTTATCTACCGTTGCGTTGCGACTCGATCGACTATTGACACACGCGACGTTACATTCTCTATTCGACACGCATTCTTACGTCTACTCGTTCTTTACCGTCGAAAACCTTAAACGAATCGTTTTTTCACGCGTTGTAAGTAACATTCAATGGGCATTTCTAAAATCCAGTTAGCGCTCTCGGTTTGAACTAACGAAATCGTTACATTATTGCGTCGTGTTATAAAGAGTCCAATGAAATTGACAATCCAAAAACCCCGATCCACTTTTGTCGAAAAAATCATTTTCAAGTACTAAACACTTCTAAAAAGATCACCGATATAAAAAATAGTTTATGTGTATTTGTTTCAGTTTTGGTTTCAAGTTTAAATTAGTCGGCAGTATTGACACAAATTATTTGCGTAGGTAAAATATTACAACATTTTTATTAATCTTGAGTTAAATTTTACACGAGTTTGTGGTTTATAAAAATTGTTGCTTAGGACTATTTTTTAATCTAAGTATTTGTTTCGCCCGAAAACCGGTAAAATTATGGAAATAAGTCACGTTCGTAAAGGTTTAACTGTAGATTTCATGATCATTTTCCCGCAGTGTATATTTTTTGTAAAATATCTTCAGAGTATATTCAGGCAAAATAAAATTTACCATAGTAAAACCAACGGTTTCTTAACTCATACCTAAAGTCATAATGGAAATATACCGTTCGCAACTTAAATCATTTTACGACTCGATTTTTGATTCGTTGTTAGGAACTAGATAAGTAAGCAGAAGATGTTTGATGATTAATAAAAAAATAATTTATACTTATGTTGATATTAACTGATATAATATAATTTTCACAAGTCATCAAAATATAATATGTCCTATTTTAATATAAATAATATAGTACTCTATGAAAGATAAATTATTTATAAAATCTACTTCGAAGAATATATTCCACCATACAATAATCGATATATTGAATAAAACATGATATCCACGTATAAACGGAATTCAAGGGGGGGGGGGAGAATATAATCGCGGGCGAGTTATCGGAAAATATAATCAACAGTGTACAATATAAATGCTGATATGCGTTTTAGTAGCATATAGTCGGATGTTTGTTTTTAACTTAATTTATACTTATGAACTGGAATGGCCCATGGTACGAAAAGGGTCAGCAACAAAATAGGTTAATCTAATCTCACTATCACAGACATAAATTAATAACAAAAACTGAAAAGTGTCACGGGAGTATATCTACACACAAAGTACTCGCATTAAAAAAAAAAAAAACTATGCAAATCGGTCCAGTAGAACTTCATAATATAACTGTCATAAAAAAATCGCTTCTCTTTTTAATAATATAATAGGTATCAAGCGTAAAAATGTAACGCTCGAAAATGTTCACTGCTCAAATGGAAAAATCTGAACACCGTATAAGATGTTTTCACTTCAATAAATACTGGACGGGTTAAAAACATATTTATTGAGGATGGAATGTTGTGCGTTCGAGGTCGAATGTAAATATTTTTCGGTTTCCCTAACAACTTCCGATTTACAGATATTTTTGTTCTATATGAAGTATATATCAATAAAACATAAATTACCCGTGTCCATTACAAAAGCCTAAAACAAATGATAAATATATATATATATTATACGAACGAAAAAAAAACGAGAAAAAAAATAGACGTCGGCTGAGAAAATATTGCCGTCGCCGTTTAAATGTAATGGTTTTTAAAAGATTATATCTAATGCAATTCAATCAATAAAACATTGTGGAGATTAGGATATTAAAACAACGCCAGAAACGATCAAATAATATTTAACGATAGGAATATCTCATTGCAAGGAGTGCCCGAAAAATGGCGTGAAACTAAAAGAAAAATATATGAGCTATGGGAGAGAGTGTAAACGATCGTAAAATATTATTTCAGTTTAATAACACTGGGACCAACTATAGAATAAAATATTAAAATATGAATGTGAGACACGATTTGTTATGATCGAATATCTTGGCATTCGGGTAATAAGGGTAGTACTCACGCCGTGTGGACGAATGACTAGAATGTAAAATGTGAATATGGTCTGCTTCTAATACAATTTACATATCTAAGACAAAAAAAAGGCTCTAAATGAAGTATCTGGACCAGATATCATCATAACAATTTAAAAATAATATATTGCTTATTCAAATCTAAATTCATATGTATGTACGTACAATAACGTTCACAGTGCCTTAAAAGTAATAAAAGTAATGAATATGATGCAATAACAAAAATACACCTAATATTTAATAATTAATAAATCTAGGATATATGATGAAGGGGAGGGCGGTTAAGTGAGTATGCTTGGCTCAAACTCTGTTGGTATTCGGCCAATGAAAAATAAAAAAAGGTCATGAACATATCCACCTACGCGAAGGCATTGGATTTGTATTAGCCCCAGACGTCAAATGTCCTAGATCCGGCACTGCATGCACGAACACAAGGGTAATATGGACGCTTGTTTTAATTATACCGGCTATAATCTCATTTCAGGTAAGGACACTTTTGTGTAATTCATTCACCCCGTCGGTATATCACACAAAGCTGCCGTCCGTGGTTTGCTGTGACACACGCCGTCGGTCGATACACAAGTTGTTAACAGTCGTTTAGTTCGGGTAGTCGCGTAGACAATAACCATTTATAAATATTATTGATGAGTTAAAAAAACTAGTAGAATTTCATACTCATAAATTGCCAATCAAGTTCACAAAATATGGAATGATAACAAATCATTATGGAAATTTTACTCAAATTATGAATAATAATTAAAATTATAATATTTAATTATTCGATCAAATTAATGTACCTAAGTACAATGATTATTAATAATATATTTCTAGATATCAATACAATAATTAGTAAACTAGGTATTAATAATATTTCGAAAAAGTACTTGTATAGTGTATCATTTATACCAAAATATAACAAAAAATGTATTATTAATTCCTTTTTTTTTTTTTATTAATGTTTGTCTGAATAACACTACACATAAAGAACAAATATAAAAATGTAAGCAAATAATCATATACTAATATTAATGAACCCTTCTCACTCACCTTTATTTAATGAATACAGAATACTACCTCTAAATGGTCATGCTGTGGAGTACTCTTCGCAATCAAACACGTTCTTACCCAATGTAGAATATACAGCACGGAGAAACGAGTATTTCAAATATTCGACCACCTAGCGGAAATACTAAACTCAAATCAGCAACATCATCAAGCTCTTTCAATTTCTATCGACAACTTATCTCATCAACTAGTGTAACTTACATTCACAAAATCTCTCTTATTTATTTATTTACCCTCTGTTATCTCGTTGTATCCAATTTAATTTATACATAAAAAAAAAATTTATTAATTGTAAATCGTTAATCGTAATTGTGAATCATTTTTAACTATATTGCAATCATTTTTTTTTAACTGTGTATGCTCCGTTACATCATCCAAAGGCCATAGCAGCCATGAATCGTCATTATTAATAAAAAAAATAAATAAAAAAAATGAAATGTATTATTAATTCCTTTTTTTATTAATATTTATTTGAGTAGAACTAAACTTAAAGAACTAATAAAAAAAAAAAATTAGCCAAATAATCATATACTAATAATGATGAACGTTTATGTATGAAAACAATTTTAATTACAAAAAAAAAACCAAATAAAAAGATTACATGCGTAAGTATAAACTTATTTATTATTTATATGAACAAAAATTATATTTATTGATTTAATCTTAATTAAAATAAAATTATTTGTCTACATTTTTTTTTATACTAATTTTTGTTTTATTTTATTATTTAATTACGTTAATTATGTTAGTGCTGCAGTGCATCAACACAAATATAAACATTGGTTCTTAATATATAAATTAGTTTATTATTATATTATTGATGTTACAGTAGGATATAGATTTTAAATTTTTAAATTAAATACATTTTTGTTTTTGAAAACTGTACCCATTATATTTTGGGGTCGAAAAAAAATATTCCCTGTGATATTTTCAAGAGTCGTAAATGCGTCCCCGTACGATTTCCAATTTATGCCACTGCTTAGCGATAATTTGTATACGAGTACTATCATTAAACTACTCAAGTGGGTAGTGTTTTGATGGTAGAATAAGCCGATTTGGGTTTCAGGAGACCCGCGCAATCTAGAGAATGCCGTATAAAAACCATATAAAGAAACGTTTTTTTCTTTTTAAATGTTCACTAGTGAGATGTATCATCAATATTCAATACATATTATAATCGTTTATCAAAAATCATGTATTATCCGATTGTTTTAACAAGTTATATTATTTTACAAATGGTACAATGTGCCAATATATTTATTAATAAGTTTAATCCTTATTTTTCCTTGGAGTAAATAAAATTATTATTTTCAATGTCCAAAGATAATATTTAATAAAAGTATTGCAATAATTGATGGCAATTTTTTGTTTAAACTTATGATGTCTTATAAACACCAACATATTTTATGATTGTGTTTCTTCGAGTCATATTATTATTTTTAACATAAAATAGATTCATTATGTACTTGAGACTAAACTGTTACCATTTCCAAAAAATATTATTGATCCTTGACCAGTCCATTAACCAAAGCTAATTTCAATTTAAACCATCGAATAATTAAATAATCAATATTTTACTGAAGGTTTATCCAAAATAATCCCACAAAATATCTTATTCTATTTAGACTCAATTATACACTTCCATGAATGCATTTATTTATTTTGGGACAAAAATATTGACAACCGTATCGAAAAAGTGTCATGTTATACTACAAGTTAAATGAACTAAGCTTATAACATGCATAATATTCGCATGCCGTATTTACATGTTCGTACGGATCATTGTAATTATCAATTATTTCTTCTCGTTGTTCGAAAAACCATTGTTATGAAATAAATAAGATTTAATAAAAATCAAAAAGTTCGATTTACACTAAAGTTCTGTGCCAACTACACAGCTATTTTTCTACTTAAACAGTTGCAGTGCAAACAAATTAAAAGTCAGGCAAAAATAATATCGTTACGACTTTACAAATTAAAAACGTATTCTCAAAATCAAAATAATCGGTTTTAGCAATTCGTTAATCACATAAAAAATAAATCAATGTTCACGTACTTAAATAACTATGAGCGGAAAAAAAACAGCTAAATGTTATTATATTTACGTGAGTAAAACAACATTTCACCTTAAAATCGTTGTGACAAATAAAAAATATTATATACTTGAGTTGCGTATTCGAAATTTATTTGAAAAGATTTAAAAAATCAAGTGATAAGTTTATATATATATATATATAAGTTTATAAGCTACGTTATTATAAAACTAAGTATATATTTAGATTTCTTAAAACCAAAATAAATGCAATTTTTATACTTGTTACATTCTTGTAGAACTTGACTTACAGCGATGCAACATAAGTAGTTAGCTATCGAAAAAACTGTAAATCATACATTATAATATCATAAATATCGGAGACTTTTTATCAAAATATCACATTTCGATTTGATGTTTATTCAATGAGTGATTAAGACGTGATCAGTAAGACATGCTGTTATAATACTAATATTAACATTATATCCGTTGTACAGCCTATAACGTTGTATCTATATCGGATTATTCATTATATATTGAGATATTTATGAGTCCTTAACACATTTTTCTAATGGTAACATAATACGTATGCATTTATTATGTATTACAAAATATTATAATTGCACCTGCTAGAAGTATTTGTTAGTTCCGGGGTAACTTATTAATAATAAAACGGAAACTATAATATAATATATTTTATCATAATAAACAAGCTAAATATTGAAATTTATAAAAATTTTAATTTGATTATTTGCAAAAAATATTTCATGAAATAAATAACAAACTTGATCAAATCGACACCTTTTGAACGTATTTATTACCTTAATTTGCTCACGAAAAACTGAAATGCTAACATAAAAAGTATTTTATTATTTTTTTTCTCTATCATGATACTACTTTACCCACCCGAGATGCATGATATCATCATAGTTCCATAAAATCTCTGTGATATTACGTTGTTCGAGTGCACAAAAAAAAAATGTGGATTTAGGTAGTTGTGGCTTTAAAATAGCTAACTCATGGCATCCGATGACGGTATGGATACATGGCATTTGGTCAAGTCTCCAGAGCAAATTATTCCTGTTTCGGCGCCAACAAATTTTTTTTAAATCACCCTCGTAAATCCAAATCAAACTCAAAAACGTCTAGCACACTAAACCAATAAGCGCTTGTGCGTTATGCTATACTGCCTCTTTCAACGCCACCAGGGAAATTTTATCGTGCATAATATTGTGTTGTGATTATAAAACCGGTATTGTGTATAGTACAAATAAAATGATGTTCAGTGATAAAATGTGTTACCGATCATAATTGATAAATGACATATGACGGAGTGTAGTAATGGCGGTAAAAACTCTTGGAGAGTAGTCATGCCCGAAGAAGAAAAAGAAGAAAAAAATCGTAATTAGTATTATTATTTTCTCGTACCACAGCAGTTCTGAAAGGACAAAATCATCGTCCTTAGATGTGAACACTTTATAGGTACCGAACATTGCGACAAGTGTCTAAATGTACAATTTAAAATAAATAAAATAAAAATTGAAAAGCACGTGTTTTCCATAACACAATAGGTAGGGGTTCATGAAGTCTTGTAGTCCTGCCGCGAAGCTGTCGCTTCCGGCTGATCGTGCAGCTTCCTCCAAGTTCCATCACCGTGCTTGATCGCCACCTGTCGCACAAGCTCCTCCGACGGCGTCTTTAGATCGTACGCCCACCCCAGCTGGGCGAACAAGTCAAGCCACATGGTGGTCGCGTTGAGCGCGTACGCGCCCAACTCGGCAGCCCTGTAGTCCTTCGGGAACGCGTGGTGATAATTGTGCCAACCCTCGCCCATGGCCACTATGGACACGGCCAGATTCTCCGCTGGTTGGATACGTCTGCATGAAACGAAACGGAAACGAGTTAGTCGAATTACCATTCGAAATACAATCGCATTGTCGCGATTGGAAATCATTATTGGCCCGGTCGGTTTACATTCAACCTCCGGATTCCCTAATGCTCATTATGGCTTTGCTCGCGATCGCCAATCTTGTTTGGGACCAAAAACAGGTGCTTACACAAAATAATATTTTGAAGAGGTCTTGGGTTGTACATTTTCAAACTTTTATTATCTGTATAGCATTTTTAGTCGGTAAAAACATGTTTTAAAATTTTCCTGAATTTAGGAGGGGGGGGAGAATTTGAACTCCTAAAATCTCCTTACGTACGCGCTTGACCAAAACCTATGGCGAATGAATGCGGGTGTATAGACGACAACGTCCCTCCGTACACCACGAATCACCACGAATCACGTGTTGCGGATGGCGCTGAACATTTTATTATTTTTTTTTTTTTGTATTTCATCATAAACAATGACAACGCTCGTAAAGAAAACATAAGAAAAGCAAAATACAAAATAACAACATACATAATGTAATATAGTACAAAGTAAAAGAAAAGAATAAAAAACTATTACTAGGTATGTAAGAAAATGATTATACAAAAGAAATAATATTTAAAAGGATAAAAAACATATGTAGGTTAGCTATTATCAACGGGCATATGTTCGGATCGTTTTAATATTATATCCTAGTGCAAATAACGTTGCAAGTGTTTGAAACGTTTCATTTTCGACTTCAAATCGAGTTAATTGATTATTATTATTATTATACTATACGTATCGAGCAGAATCACGAACGAATTTTATTTCGATACCTTATCTTGTCTTACGCTGAATCCAACATGTATACGGTATACGAACTCGTTTTCCGTTTTTGACCAAAATCCGATTGTGATCAATTTCAATTTTTTTTTTTTTTTTTCATTCTTATATCATTACTAGGCAACTTAAATATTCGGTTATTTTTTAAAATCATTGTAAAATAAGCTATGAATCAAATTTAACATAAATAATTCTATTTGAATGTTTGTTATACACCACACGTTATAGTGACTATATTTTCAATTAATTAGTGTACTATATAACTAGGGGTATTTTAATTTCAGGATCCAGCGTTCGTTAACCATTTTTTTATGTTTGAACGTGATAAAATAAGACGTGAGATTCCAGTAAATCGGAAATCGATACGCTTAGCGTCAGAGAGATTTTCATTCGATCCTGATTCGTTGTTTTATTGGAATCTGGCAACTTTTAATCACTGTACTCAGTAGTTGTCAGACGGCACAATGACATTTTCATCTATTTACCCTAAAAAAATGTCTTCCAATATGGACCGAAAATTATATGAAGAGAAACAGTAAATATTCTGTAATTTGGATATGGAACAAGGCCGTGTTGGCCTTCTGGCTCTGAAAAAAATTTATCACCGATTGAGGTCGAGTTGAACACATAGTCTGAAATCACGCTCGACAAGTACAAAGGACAAAATTAAACAATAAAACCCTTTGTAAGTCATAGGATAAGTATTTATCTCAGTAATTATTTCAAGATATATATAAATATATAGATATTACTATGCATTATATCGAAGTGTACATGATTTTATTGGCTTCGGATTTATTTAGGGATGAATGTTTGAGAAGGAAAATAAAAAAGTAATCAACATTTGAACCATGAACACTCACAATTTTGAAAATAGTTAAAAAAAAAAATTAATAAGTACTTCAATCACCTTAAATATATACATCTATGTTAAAAATGACTCCGAAACGTTTCCAAAAAAAAATATAAATGAAAAATTGATTGTTATTTTCAGAGAGGAATAAATTCAGTCCATCGCGTTCCATCACGAACCGTATCTCATAAGCAAACCAAACACGATCAATCGAAAATATACGTTTACTATAAACCACGGTCTTATTGATCGCATTTAGAAATTCAAAAGGTTGGGGGTGAGCATTTTGAGAAACGTGTTGTCTACTACAACCGCAAGTCTTACGATTTTTACGTAATATTTGTATCAACGGATCGATGTACAGCATTAGATGTTATTATATGTATTATAGGAGAGTATATTGTATTTGATGACATTTCATAAGTTGTCCAAAATGCGTGTTCTCAGGAAAAATTATTTTCATTCATAATATGATGTGAAATAATCTACACTTATATTATACGGATTTCATTTTATAACTCACAGTTGAACAATGTTGCGGCTGATAGTTTTCCTTTATACCACATTTATTATTTAATAATAGTTCATAATATACTCGAGAGAAATATTGCACATACACGCGATTTCGTCAAAATGTACTAGTCGGTACGCAATAACAATAATTAAATCCATTATAGACTTCATCTCGCAAAAAGTGTAAAAATAAAATTCTGTTTGAAACGCAGAACGTGTGAATAAACTACCGTCAATTTATTAATTAAATTCAGTTTTGATAATAATTTGTGTTGTAATCGTAATTTTATATACAAACAAAAAACACTACATATAGATTAGTTCTCATTACAATCATCAATAAAAATGTCGATGCGTTCAAAGATACATGGATTAACTCATGGACCATGTTAAGTCTAATAACTTGTTATTTAGTTGTGATGTGGTTAAAATATATACATCAGGTTTTACAACAAATACATTACTTACATTTTTTTTTTTTTTTATCGAAAGAAGTTAAGCATTTGCCAGATTTTTGCGATAAAAAATGAGATAAAAAAGAATTTTAAAAAGACACAAAGGCGTGACAGAGAAACGTATTTTCATTAACATTATTTCAATACCATAAAATATCGTGATTTTAAAATATATTATTTTTATTATTTATATATTTTAAAGGTATTAGGGTTAATAATCAATTTCATTCGAAGCGATAACTAGGTTAACTAGAGTTAGTGGCGAATGAAAGGTTGAAATTTATGAGGTTCGAATGTTTAAAAAAATTGACATGGAATTTTTTTTTTAGAAGGAAGCAAGAATGGAAGTTCTATTATTAATATTCTAAGGTAATTTCATAAAAATGCGGTGTAGACAAATCAGGAAGCTTTCACTGCGAGTCGAGATTCGATAGGTTGCGACTGTGTTGGTTTGTACTTATGTAAAATAAATTTCAGTAAACTTCATAAGAAATTAATATAATACAGTGTTCTCGTATAAAGAACTGAATGTCCTCTTAAACCCAATGGGACAACTGAATAAGGTCTCAACCTTGAGAGAAGGGTGTAACTAGCGAGCCATAATTTTTCAATAAACATCCGAAAAAAAACACGATTTAAAGGATTTTTATAAATTTAATTTTACTAATTTTTCGTAAAAAAAAAAGAAAATAAATAAAAAAAATTTTTCTTTAAATTTAACAAAGAAAAAAATGATATAAATTAATTCTTTTTACCCTGGTAAACCAAAAAGTATAAAATTTAAAAATAATATTTTCTGTTTAAAATTACATCGAAAATCTACACAAAAAAATAACTCATTCCGTGGTTGTATAAGTTTATACTCCTGAATAATATATAATAAGCGCAATTAATAAAATATATTTTCCTTATGTAAGAATTTTGATTAATAAAACAAATAATTGTTTCTGTAATTTAATTATTTAATAAAATATCAAAGGTAAACCCTACTTCGGTAACGACTTTAAAGACCACCCTACACGTATAGAGACATTACATCATCACATTTTATGAATTTATCACACGTTGGACCAACAATGAAATTTTGTATACAGTGTTGCATAACGTTTTGGAACTAAAATTAAAGCTGACACCGTCGTTTTACTCACTTATCAAACGGCTTATTTCCCCAAATGTGAGCCACGCTGTTCACTGACCACGTGAAGTTCAAATTCAGCACATATCGAAATATGCCGATTACGAGGACTGCAACCATCCAGGTTTCGTTCCACGCGTACACCGGCACGACCACCGGTATGAAGAAACATAGCAACAGCTTCAACATCATAAAATGTCTGGTAAAAACAATATTCTCATTATTATTATTATTATTTTGCATCATTTTAATACCTATTGTTGGTTTTTTTTTTTTTTTTTTGTTATTTTATACACTCAAGCGTGACAAAAGCGTACGATGTACGTAACGCAACTACGTGGTCAATGCAAATCAATAACAATTGGTCGAAATCGGTTGTACGTTCTACAGGCGGAATGAACTTTGTCTACAACATTATTATGATGGAACCAGAACCTCCAACGCACTGAATAATCGAATCGCAATCAATTACACTTGATTAGCAATAACAATAATAAGCATTTGAAAGTGTTACCCTTTAAGTGTACCACGTTTTTTTGTATTTAAGCTTGAATATTTAGTCGTACAAAAACACCGTTGCAAAACAAGTGCAATTTACTTAATATTATTGTTTTTTGAATAAAGTTATGTCGGCAGGTTCTGAAACATTATGTAGTCCGTTAATTTTCTAGCATTTTCACGTAACATCCGAACTTAAAAAGTCGGGACCGATCGAAAATCAATTATTTTAAATTCACTATTTTTAAATTTATTCTAGCTCATACGACCACTATCACCTATTAATATAATATAATATAATTACCAGTTATATAATATTTGACATTATAATAATACAATATAAATAAAAATAATATGTTTTATGAATCAATCACAACCATAACGATTTTTAAGAATTTTTAAGCTGGGTAATATTACTGGGTAATCTTCCAACTCACATTAATCAATATTATTGTTACTATTTATCAATATTCAAGCCTACTTTTTGTAGAAAAAATTACGTATGTATTTTGTAGATTTTCTTTATTAATAAATATATAAAGAAAAAAAAAGTTTTATTTAAGCATTTTATTTATCGATGATATATTATGAACAATTAAATTCAAAAATCCCCTTCAAAAAAAAAAAAAATAAAAATAAAAATGTACAAATTATCACATATCAATGCCATATTTTGGCATTCGCGTAATTACAAAATCAATTCGTCAACGCATTATCGTGCTATTTTCTCGATTGAGATTCGTGTATAGGACAATTGTAAATTAATAATAATTTTTGTTCAATTACAAATAAAACGATTTTTATTCGTATGTTATTCGAAAATATTTTGCTGCGTGTTTTTCGTCCGACTTATTATTATTTATGCATGAAATGTTAAACGATTATTAGGCTTTCAATATTATTGCAAATAGAACGACAACCATAATCTATTCATTTATTATATTCTAACTTGTATATGAAATCAATATCCGTCGTCCTCTGCACACATCGATTATTTTAACGTGTAAAAAATGCAAGCAAAACGTTAATGATTTATATAATATGCTTAAATATTTTTACTGGACACCATTTAATGTTTTCTCTAGACTTGAAATATTATTTCTATCCCATCGACCGTTTGCGGGAATAGTTTCAATCGGTCGGTTTCCAAGTGGCTATATATATTAGTATAAAATTATAAAAATTTTAAAAGATTATCCTTCCAAAAATGTCAATGCACACATTTGTCGATTAATAAACGGCCAGTCGGTTACGGCCAATAACATTTTAAAGCCGTAAAGGATAGACAATAAAACGTAGACGGTATTTAAAATTTACCACATGCATTTCCCTAAGTTGTTCGTGATGCACATTTAGAGATCTACTGTCAATAAGTCTGCGCGCATGAACTTACTTCGTGTGGAACTGCACCAGAGGGTCGTTGTTGATGTCCGACATGTCGATGGTCCGGCCCCATTTGTAGACTTCGGGGTGTTTGCGTTGCATCAGCCAGCCAACGTGCGAGAAGAAGAAACCTCTATTCGCGTTGTGCGGATCCGCGTCCGTTTCGCTGAACTTGTGGTGCACCCGGTGATCTCGAACCCATTCCGGTATGGAATTCTAAGCCAAACAAATTTCGATTAATCAGGGAATTGTGTGGACGACGACGATGCCAATGAGTGGCTTTGTTGAACTGTATAAGCCAACGAGATCACCGTAAAAATGTATTCTTAGAACATTCAACCTATCCGATACTTCCTCCCTTACACTGCACATGGAAATTAATCATATATTTAATGCAGTGTTATGATCAGCTCAATAATTAATACGTAGTCGTAGAACTTCTAATGAAATACGATTTCTGCTGTGTATAGTATACAGGGAAAAAGAATAACAATTATCCTTAACGGGCAAGAACGTTTCCAGATTCAAAACTGATCGGTATGTTCCGCATAAACCGCAAAGTAAATTAAGAAGATAAATATCGGGTATCGCATAGCTAACGTCTTTAGAATTGTTAACACCTTTAATCTAGTACAACGTACCTGTCCAGATACCGTGTAACACGCGAGGAGTATTATTTGCAGAGGTAACTTTGCCTTGAACGATCTATGAGTATAATATCTATGTGCGCCACCAGTGACTCCAAATCCACCAATACCACCAACAATAAAACCTGAAAATAGAATAATAATATTGTAATGAACATTGCAAACTATCGTCGTGTTTAATACTACTAAATAAAAAACATTTGAAAATCATATTTAAATTAATCTTAATATATATCAAGTACGTCATTATTCTTTTGTACACATTATGTTAACACTATTCGGTAATTTCATCAACAACGCAATTGTATTAATGTCTAAACCTTTATATTTAAAAATTTGAAATAAAATAAAATTATTATTCAACTGGGACATTTCGAATTATATGAAACTGTTTCAAATGTGTTAAATTAGTTTAGATATGAGCTTAGTTTGGCTAACTCAAAATTAAAATCCTTGTCCGGTTTTGACCGACGAGTAAATTTAATAAACTACCTAATTGTTCAAAAATGTATTATTATTAATATTTGTTGTATACGTAGATATTACGCAAACTAAGCTTGTTTCCGATATCGTCAATACATTCGTTTAGTCTTCAAAATCAAATATTGAAAAAAAAAATTACTCCTGATAAATAGATTAACCAAAATACTCTTCAAGTGAAAATATTATGAATACATTATATTCTGCACAATAATTTATGTTCGATATGAATTTAATATTTACCGTGAAAAATATATATCAGTCAACTAATAATATAAGTTATTTTATGCATACGGATTATTTGTTACCAAATCATACTCTTGTCTTCTTTTTTTACAAAAATCTCTGCTCCAGACAAATACGAAATAAATATAAATGTACCATGTGTACAATGTGTTTCGAATAAAAACATTTACTGTTGGAAAAAACACAGTAGTGTATACTATATACGTAGCTAGTAAACATGTGTTAATTTTGATAATAAGTATATTACACTGACAATAAATCAAAATCCCAGTGAACCATATTGTATACGTTCTCCTTAAAAAGATTATTTATTGAATACAAACGTTTCATAATAAATAATGACAGCAAGAGCTTAAATTCATCCTTTCCAAGAGTATAAATCTATATTTTCCGAATGCTATTAAAATGTCTATTTATTTCTTTCGTTCATTATAAACGGACAAACTTGATTGGAATTAAAATTCAGTTTTTTTTTTTGTTTGTCTTTTTTTTTTTTAGTTTACAATAACAATAATAATTATATTATACTTTATATTTATCGAAACCGAAACGGCTGGTTTGCAATAATAATTTATTTAAACAAAATGTAACCTCTTCGTTCAAAAACTTCATCTATAGACATCATATGAAAATTCATTTAGGCTTATTAAAAAAATTGTTTCTTTATAGATCATGTCATAAAAATATTTATAACAAAAAATAAATTACTTATAATCGTGAATCAAAAACAGCCGCAAAAAAATGTAATACAATTACTATCTGCTGTCTAAAGCTACAGAACTATTATTAACGTTATTTGATATCAAACTACAGGGCGATTGGATTTGCTTTTAAAATGAGTGACACGTCCATTAAAATGATCTACTCAACATTATTTTTTTTCCTACGCAACTAAATATTTTGGTCAAGGTAATAAATTATAAACGGGAATACCAAGAACCTATCCCTATTTATTTATTTGTACTTAATTCAATGGGCAGTTTTGTAATTTAACAACGTACTGAAATGAAACAAAAACAACAAACCAATGATAAATTACAAAACGCAGCCAGCATTTGTCAATCATAACGATTGAAAAAATATATATGATTGGAGTTTATAATCAAAACTTTATAAAACATCGAATGTATATTTGATTTTTCGTGTTAAATAAGAATTTATTGACATTCGAAAGCAAATACTTAAAAATAAATGAAAATTTAAAATAATATAAATTTCTAAAACTTAATTCAATCTTTAAAAATGTTTAACCAATGGATATTGTGCAATTATCAAATATTTTAATACATAAATTCAATATATTTAAAACTAATATAATGCTTCTATCTTTTTGAAGAGCAAACTGGTTTAACACTTCTTCGGGATTAACTGAAACATCTCTACGGGTACTTAATAGAGCTAGGCCAGTTATTCCTTTTTTTCCTGTAGAGTTTCGTAAAAATTTCTTGACACGTAAATTCGAGTGCGTGTTACCCCTAAACTGCATACCAAACGATCCATAATCATAAATAATAGTTCAACCGTAGTTCTGTGTTCCATTTTTTTTTTCCGTGCCATATTAAGTTTTATAATAATATTCAACAGTCTCACAAGTCAGACGAACGTCTTGTTAAGTTACATACTCTTTGACAGTGCGCGATTCATGACTAGGCTTCATCTCACATTTAACTATTTCGGCCATCAGCCCCGACCAATAATTATATTAATAATATATTCAGTTCCTGTAGTAATAACATACTCTATCGTAGATTACGGTATTGACGACCGAATAATGGGAAGAGGAACGGCTGCTCCATAACTTCCAAATCCATGGTCTTACACAATTATTATTCCCTTTAGACAAGCGCCGCCGATACCGAAAACAACAATTTATTTACGCTCTAATATTCATCTACGCGTGCGCAACTGTGGCTCGGGCTAACGATTTAATCTAATGCCGCGGTTGAGATCTACTAAAATTATATTGACAGTATCAATTTACCGTTGTTAGTATAAAACCATAGGATAAGGTAAGCATCTTCATTTATCATTTATCATTAATAACAAAAGCGATGTGAAGAAAATGTTTATAATGAAACTGACTATAATGTTTAAATTATAAAACCGAACAAAATGAACCTGAATGCTCCAAATGAAAAATGTACATTGCGGTTAGTGTTTACAAAAACGTGACAGTAACATTATTAACACTGGACATATGCGCTTCTTGAATCACAGTACGGCTCCCTGTGATACAGATGGGTCAGTGATTGAAGACTTGATACACTAACTAACAAGGTCAAGTCATCAAAGGCTTGCTAACTTTCGCTATAGATTAGGGAATTTTATCAAAAACCATATAAAAGCTATCGCATTATTTTTTCTTAGACTCTGAAGTCGCAAAAGTGCTACCACTGGTATAAGACGTTAACTTAAATTAAAAATACTTTATTGTACGGTATGTTCACACTCCTTTATTATTTCACTTATTTTATTGAATCAATTTTATGCTCTTTCAATGAAACTGGTGGTTTGCTTGAAGTTGCTTTAATGTGTAATTTCGCTTTTTTCAATGTATGAAGGAAATAGGTAATAACGTATTTGTATTCGTATTTTAAAATCACTCGGTCAATAATTTAATTTACTGATTTTTTTCACCACCAGAATTAAATACTACCACAAAAGTTGATTTTGTAATTTTATTTCTTAACACACATACAATGTTAAATTGTTTTTATTTGGTGTAATAGGCGAAAAATACGGTTCATTGAAATACATACTTTACTTGAAAGTTCTTTGTTTGTCTTGAAATGTTACGGTTATTTAGGAAATCGACGGAAAAAGCTTTACAACAGTGTTATCGTTAAAAAAATTGTGACCTACATTTGTTATTTATACACATTTAATATAAAAATGACTTATTACAAAAAAATAAAAATAAATGTATTCTATTTATACAAGCACTTAGCAATTATTATTGTTTATATTTTCATATTTTTATGCAGTTTTTAATTAAACGTACATTTGTATATTATGTTAGGATAACCAAGAATGCATTTATAAGCAAAATAATGTAATATTATATTATGTCCATTAGAACTGTAATACTAAAATGTGACACCCAATGTAAGACAATAATAATAAACGGGTGAACGATTAGGTTGTTTTTTTTTATTTATTTAATTTGTAACTTTATTTTATGATCCCAAGGCAAAACTCACCCCATATGGCGGTTTGGTATTTTATGGAATTAATGCTGGTTATGATACCGATTACGGCCAAAATATGAAGAACAGTGATCATTATGACGTTCTTCCATATGATCTCCTGTTTGCTAACCGGTAACGGATCTTCGTCACGAGTTTTCGTTTCTTCTTCTTGAACATTTCTTAACGGTTTGGTCTCCCGCTGCAACATATTTGCTTCCGTTATAGTTGTAGTCATTACACTCATCTGCACCATGGTGACAGTTTCGTTGGCCTGCGTCACGAACGGTTATAATGTATGGACAGTATTTTGTTCTCAAGGGGAGAATCACCTGTACAAAATGATTGATTAAAAAAAAAAAATGAAATACAAATATGAGTACGTTCTACTATAGAATATCTAAATTCTGTATAAGATTATAGAAACATTTTCAAAAAGTAATTGTTCCATAACGGCGATTCTTCAACTAGTATGTTTTGATTGATACAATATCTTTTCAGAAAACTACAGCATTTTGAATGCAGTAATTTTTCTTGTATTATTTTAGTAGCAATTGTGCTTGGACATAAATTTATCAGTATTTATAACATAATTCATTTTTGAAAAGAGTATGTACAACGACGACTAGAAACTCGTCAAGTCAGACAGTCGAATTCGTTTTATGTAGAAAAATACGATTGTATTATAATTTTTATACTACGAATATATGAAACATACATTTTACGGTCATTTAGTTATAAATTAATTTGTCATTTTCATGTAAAATTGTTGTTTATGATTAATTATTTTTATGCTCTTTTCCAGATAATAAAACAACAGTGTATCAATGTAATTTAATGTTTCGATTTAAAAGTTTTCTTAGACAACCAGCCAATTAAACTGACCACTTCAGTTTTTTGACTGAACCTTGTCCTTGATTCTAAATATAGATGGATTCCTCTGTTCCTTTCCTGATTTATTTAACCCTGGTTCAATTCGTACGCTCCACCGCTGGTACTAAATGAAGGCTTACCCTTCTTTTCTTCTCCTTATCTTTAAAGTTATAATCAGCTACAAGTTTAAGTATAATTTTTTTTCTATTCTTTCTCATACCGTAAACATTTCAACTTTATTCTCGCTTCTTACTCCATTTCTCTATCCAACCTTGAAGACGAATGCTCGTGTCTTCAAATTGAAATCAATAAATCAGCATTCCTTGTCTTCTCCGCACATGTTACGCTTACATTATAAAGCTTTTTTGACGTAAGTGCCCGAATCTCATTTTTATTGGTGTCCTCTTTTATTTTGTTCCTTTTCACTTTATACATACATCACTCGATTCTTCACTTAAAAATTTATGATACGCCATATCAAGCCCTATTTTGTTAAAACATATTAATTTCTCTTAATTTGCTTGGCTTTCCTCCAAAATAAGTATCACTCCCTTCCTTCCTTTTCAAGTAATTTATTCTCTATTTAACGAATTAATTTCCATCATTACCTATCCTCAGCCCTTACCTTACTAAAATCATCGATAACTATCTCCTCCAGTTCATATGGTTTTTTTTTTCGTTCCACAACTCAGAACCACTACTGCTGAAATCCGTTTTCTATCTTCTTCTTAGATAAATGCCTCCTCGTCATTATCAGTGGTAGTTATTAGTTATTATGAATTCATAAGCATCCCATTAGACCATTTTCAAGCCTTTCAATACCTTATTATCACTACTTATTTTCCTTAAGAATATTTGGCTTTTCAATTGTCCATAAACATTAGAAATCTACAGGAATCTTCAGGTTCTCAAGGTTTCCGGTCATGTAATTTCAGAAGGATAAAAGGATTCAAAATGATTATGTATATTTTATATTTTTATTATATACATGTGTGTAAGTGTGTATGTGTTAGTAAATGTGTGTGTTTAAAAATAAATTTGTTAAATCCAAAAGGTTAGTAAAAATATTGGTTATAAATTTTATTTTAATTAAATCAGCCGACAAATACGAAAAAATGAGTTTTAATTGTACATCATGTACACTTTGTTCGTATAAAGTCCTTCGATATGGTACTGCCATCTGTTATGAAATACTGTAACTATTCCACGGTCGGTTAGCGCATATATCTTATTATTATTTTTTATTATCTCAATGCGTAACGTATTATAATCGTATACCTACGTAAAAAACGTTGAATGTATACAATATCAATGCTGTAGCGGTGCACCTTTATAATTTTTTTTTTTTTTGTTACAATATCATATATATATATACACATTTGAACTGACGTAATACGCGAAACTCGGACGGCAATTTAGGTTGTCTTTTCTAATTTCTCTCGCGCGTTGCTGCAGCGAGGCGTTTGGCGAAACGAATCCGAGCGGCCGCGGTACACCAGAAATGCAATGATTTTCAACGGTATACCTACGTTGTACACGTGAAATCGTAATAATATTACATAGACCTTACACAACAGTATATACTGTCAATCGTATATCGTACTTGCAGGGTGCACCCCATTGCAGAGAAGCAACGGATTTTCTGTAAAACCGATCGGAACGTGCAAAAATATTTATAATTGCGAATGCACTGTGTAATAGTTATTGTAAGGGTGTTATTGTTTTGAGGAATAGATTTATAAGCGCGAAAAACTTTTAAAATGTGCTACAAATTATGCGCTTAAAATTTAAATTAGCCCATTGAAGACAGTTAATTTTTATTGTATATTATCATAGAAAAAAAAAAAAAAAAAGAGTACGAAAACTTAATTATTTATGGTCGCGAATGTTGTTATTCGTCATTATCACCAACAACGTTCTTAGTTTTCACCGTTAATATTATCAGTTCAAGCTAGTTTGGAAAAAGTCAACAGACATTTAAAAAAGTAAAAATATAAATATTCTTATGAATTAATTCGTATATTTATTAATTTAATTTAATGTCCTGGATGATCGGAACAAAAACATGAGCTATTAACTAATATATGCACGGTTGAATTACAGTTGTGCATTAAATATGCAAACAAAATTTATGTTGTTTTGATAAGAATGATTTAAATCGTGCATATTACTAATCATTAAAGACCGGAATTATATTTTTTTTGCATATAATTTTGGATTTTATACTGTTGGATGGGGCTTCGAAATCTTTACGAATCATGAAACGTGTAAATTAATGACAAAAGTTTTTTTACACATTTGAGAATATTTTAAGATAACAGAATATTAAAGAATATTAGGAAATATATCTGTTAATTGTATAGATATTCGATAGTTTGTGTTGCAGTGATGTATATATAATAAACGGTATGTTCGTTAATAGTGATATAGAATATTGAAAAACGTAGCATAAGTTTTTAATGAATATAATGAAAATAAACTATAGGTAATTTTTCAAGGCTACCATAACTGATTTATTAAATTTATATTTTGTTAAATGTATAAGAGGTGCAAGATTGGAGTGAGCAGACGATTTATGGAGACCTGAAAATAGTATGGCAAAAACAGTAATTGTGAGTAACATAATTAAGAGTAGACCGCGTGGATAACCAAAGCACCAAAGCAGTGATAGTTAGACGTAGTTAGAAGAAGTATAATGGATCTGAGACCGAAGTGGAATGATCACTTAAGTCATTCACATAACAGGGAAGAATAAAAGCAACTAGTGTTGATTGAAAGGACCTTAATGGCCTGTAAAAAAAAAAAAAAAAAAATGATAACTGATTTTCAATTTTATGATTCTATGACTTCAGTCGACGTCAAACATTTTTTCAGAACATATAAAAAAATGTTTACGAACCGTCGTACCAATACGGCACCAGAGCACAATGAACAAAATGTTGTTGTCAACATTTTTCAAAAAAGATCTTAATTAAAAATACGTCATTAATTTAATTGAATAAATAAAATATTACCTGAATTAAAATTTTGTTTTAGCTGTATTACTTTTATCATACGCCTATTTTAATCAGTTTTTTGTATTGTGTACTTTATTATTTTGCATATAAAAGCATATTTTTAATTAATAGAAAATATTATGAATCCATATTTTTCGCATATTTTATTATGATTTCTAAAGAATATCGAAAGAACATTTTTAATTTTTTAAGAGAATATTCCCATTTAATTTTGGCTATTTTACAATAATATTATACCGGCCTCTACTAATCATTTTTAAAATACGACATTCTCATAAACGTATGCATTTACAAAATAAATCTGTTCCTTAATTATTACATAGTAAATCCATACAATGTACATAATACATTATATGCGCGCTTTTCTTTGGGAAATACGGGAATCGCGATAAATTTTCGTTTTTCGCATGTACGCGTCTTTGTTACAATGCGAATCGATTTTTTCCCCCTCATTTTCGTGTTTGTGAAATAGCATGAGTAGTCGACTGTGTGCTGCGTTTCTACCTTTTATTTTTTTGTTTTCTCTTCAGAAGCACGGGCGCGTGTTCACGCGGAAGTCACGCGATTCAGTCGATCGAAACGAATCTCGGCCTCTTTAAAAGTTGTTAAAAGTGCACCGGCACAATAAATCGCGATCGACGACCGCGATGCCCGATGTCTTATTAATATTTAAATGCCATTCACCCCTGCGATGACAGCCGTCGGTTATGAGTAATGACGAGGCCGTGTTAAACACGCACGGTATGTGTGTCACTTTACAACAGTGTAAATATTTTTACGTTTCGCGATTTCGTATGAAAAAAAATTCAAATAAAAAACGAACGACCGCGGCAGGCGACACGTTATCTGTTGACTTAGCACTTTTTCCTGCGTTCCAACTCGGCGAAATATTATACCCAACAAAACACTTACCGAATTACACACGCGCACACATTCAAACGATCATATTTTCAAATACATGCCATAATGTGAAACGTTTGACGACCCGACAACGTATATGTATAATATTATTAATCTCTTGGTGATTTTCATCCAACGCGCATGACATCTCCTTTTTATCGGTGAATCAATGAGTTTTTGAAAACAATTATTTTTAAACATTAAAAAATGCGCTGGAAAAAAATTTTAATTTCCGTTTTTTCTATTATTCCATAGTAGTCATTATTCAACATTTACATTTCTGCAAAAGGTGCATTGCTGACCATAAAATACTAACTAAAAAAATAACTACTGTACATTCGATGTAATCATGCGTACGCAACGAATTTTTCGGAAAAATTGTTATTTTAATTTAAAAAAAAAATAATTTGTAAAAGCCATAGTTATTTTTCGAAATCCTATTATGTGACCGGGAAACAAACGAATTTACTGGTATGCATACATACTGCGGTATAACGGGCTAATGCGAAATATTGAAATAATCGTTAGAATAGAGATGAATA